ATTTGGGGACGTGGGGATTTGGGGACGTGGGGATTTGGAAGCGTGGGGATTTGGGGACGTGGGGATTTGGAAGCGTGGGGATTTGGGGACGTGGGGATTTGGAAGCGTGGGGATTTGGGGACGTGGGGATTTGGAAGCGTGGGGATTTGGGGACGTGGGGATTTGGAAGCGTGGGGATTTGGGGACGTGGGGATTTGGAAGCGTGGGGATTTGGGGACGTGGGGATTTGGAAGCGTGGGGATTTGGGGACGTGGGGATTTGGAAGCGTGGGGATTTGGGGACGTGGGGATTTGGAAGCGTGGGGATTTGGGGACGTGGGGATTTGGAAGCGTGGGGATTTGGGGACGTGGGGATTTGGAAGCGTGGGGATTTGGGGACGTGGGGATTTGGAAGCGTGGGGATTTGGGGACGTGGGGATTTGGAAGCGTGGGGATTTGGGGACGTGGGGATTTGGAAGCGTGGGGATTTGGGGACGTGGGGATTTGGGAGCGTGGGGATTTCGGGACGTGGAGATTTGGAAGCATGGAGATTTGGGAACGTGGGAATTTGGGAGCGTGGAGATTTGAGGACGAGGGAATTTGGGAACGTGGGGATTTGGAAGCGTGGGGATTTGGAGATGTGGTGATTTGGGAATGTGAGGATTTGGTGATGTAGGGATTTAGAGATGTAGTGCCTTGAAAGGTATACGAAGTTAATGACTTAGATACTTGACAATATACAAATTTAAAAATGTAAAACTCTAAATACTAATTATACTCCATCCTCAACAAGAGTACCATAGGTACCACACCTCACCACTGTAAACTTAACATAACAAGGGCTCCTCCCCACCTAGTTACGTCACTGCCCCTCTCAAATTACCCTCCACTCTATCTTAAAACCGCATTGACCATCCTTGAAAGAGTGAAAGCATCATATCAAGACTGATAACAAATTTAGTCACTAGTAAAGCAGACACTGTCTAATAGGCAGCAAGATTTGATTACCGAGCGTTGCTCTGTACATGCTTAGGAATATCATCCATGAAAAAAAAAGTTAGACACGTACAATAAAACTTTCCTCGTGATAAACAAGTAATTGACTGCTTCTTTTATCGAGCATAGTTCCTCCCCGTCGATAATCTGTCCACTGGACAGAGATAGTACTTGTTCGATTCAACAATAATAAAAAAGATTGCAAAAGGAAATGGAACAACATGTCTGTCACGCCACGTTGCGATATCACCCTGTTAATTAAACAGAACTTTAATCGCGTGGACCTGTTTTGACATATGTCACGACAATTACAAAATGTCATCTTTGTAATTTATCTGTACCAAACGCGAGCTTCTGTTATTATTTAATACTTATCTGTGTCGCGCGACTTCACACCATAGTGTGGAGCGATTAATTGTAGGGATTTCGGCATGTGGTGATGTGTAACTTGCCGTTTTTATCTAATTTACCTTGGTAGAGTAAATACTGTAGCATTAGTCGCAGATATGTTCACTATATTGCCGAAAACAATTGTTACAAAAGAACATTTGAGTTACGTTGGGACGTGGTTGTCTCAACAAGGTTGGGTTAGCAAAGTTAGGTTAGGTCACCAAACTTCTGTCATCAAGTTCGAGATTTGGAATTTTTGAGAGATGGGAAATTGAAAATTTGGGAATTTAAGGACTTACAAATTTTACTACATAACGTTGGTGTGTCGGTAAGGTAGGGAATCAGTTCTTCTGAACTTTATTAGTTTCAACTTGAACTAAAAGGAGATTAAAGAATTGCACAAATTTATTTTATAGTTTCAAGCTTAAAAATTAACAGGGATTATCGTAGACCTTGACATCGTTCACAAGTAGCAATTTACTTCATAACTGATCCGATAGCGATCACTTATCGTAGACGTTCTACGAACAGTTAAGGAGACCTTACAAGAGTTCGATCATCGAAAAGGACATAACTGTTATAAGTATCTATACATATCCAACACTGTAGTAATATCCGCAACAGATCCACGAGATTCTTAATCAAATCTTAACAAGATATATCGTGGTCGTAAATTTAGGTAAAGCCAGTAAGATCAGTAAAAGCGACGAAGTCAATTTCCATTTCCCTACTCATTAAAATGCCTGATATAAATAAGTTACAGTGTCAAGTTATAGAATGCTCTGCAATTTACTCTGCCAATGTAAATTAGGCTTATCGCATGCTGGCTCGATGCGTGCTCGCCCCTCGTTGTAAGTAGCGTTTAGCACTAACACGGACTAACTTCAGATGTCACGTTACCCGTGTATTTTCTGACTAACTTAGATTAAATAGTCGATGACGGGTAACATTTTCATTAATTACATCGAGTAACATCTGAACGCTACTTCTTTGGCTGGCAAGGTTTAATCAGCTTGCGACTAATATCTGGTCTACTTACAACCTGGCTAGGGGGAGCATGCAGCGGCCTGTACTGTGTATGTACATACGTATGTGTTACGGTCTTCGAGGTATAGCGAGGTCGTAAATTATTTCGAAATTGCACTGAAGAAATTCAAGGTAGTTAATTTCAAGGTTAATCTTTGGACTCGTCAAACCTTATTTTTACACATGTCAGTGTTATAGTTCTCGTTATAAAATTATAGCTCGTTATGAAACCTTAATATGAATTATACCAAAAGTCACAAATTATAAATACAGAATTACACTTATAGATATAAATTATAAATATAAATATAAATGTAAATATAAATAAAAATTTATATTTATAAATATAAATTATGTCACTACAGAAATATAAGTATGAAGTACAGACCACATGAAAAGTTTAATTTACGACCTCGCTATACCGCGACGAGTACTATACCTTGTATAAGACTCATCTCTTATTAGTGTGCATTGTACGATTATATGTGTATATTTCTCGTTGTATTCGATCGAAACAAGCGCATCTTGCCACTATGTACATATCGAAAACCGATGTAAAATCTTTTGTGAGGAATGTATGTCAATAGATGTCATTTTTTGTGCAAATCATGGATGCATTTTATTTACTCTCTTCTCTCATGTCTCATGTTGTATATCCAGCATAGATTGTAAACAAGCTGTAGTCTGTTCGTATGATACAGTGATGACAAAGATACTTGCACGTGTATTATGCAATGTTTCTATATATGTGCTTATGTTTAATGTTTCGAAACTATATGTTTAATATATGTTTTAGCAGTTTAACAAAATATACAATGTTTGCACGCTTTCCTCATGCAAGTTTACTTTGACCCTTCGTCGACTTACAACCACGCTATACCTACTAGACTGCACTCCATTCCGCTGACTGTACACTGAACGTGTGTACACTCTACGGAAGAAGTATCTTCAAAATTAAAAATTGCGTCATTTTAAGTGACGGCCATAAATGAAAGTATGCAATATATGAACAGACTATAGCTACCGTTCATCCCGCTCCCAACATTGTATATCTGTCTTGTGTTTATCACCCGAATGTCAGTCTTTGTGTATATATTTTCAATAAAAACCTGCATTTCACGTGTGGCATCTCATTAGTAGCTCACGCACATGTCGTAGTACCATAATTCATGTCATGGTGAGTACATCTTTTTTTTTTAATTCATCAACGAAACGCTAAAATCTAACCTAGAAGTACTTCGTGTTTCGAAATTTGTGAAGAAAAAAATTAGATTCTATCGTTGCGTCGGTGAATAATAATTTCTCGCTTCTCTTGCATGCTTTGTGTTTGATATGTCTTCGTGTCGTGCTTGCTTTGCTTCAATATCACATTTCGCGTTTCTGTACTTTCGAAACGTCCGGTAAAAATCTCCATATATTGCCATTGATACCTAACGAAAAAGCAAAGGGTTTCTCAAACTAACCCGACAATATCAAACTGCGAATAGGCAAGAGCATTTTTATTTCTGTTTCAGACAATACATTGTTGGCGATAGATTCGGTGCCCCCTCACGGAATAGTTCAACCACCCCCTTATATTTCGCCGCCCAAACCCGACAGTTGTCACAAGGAGATAATTCAGGAGATCCTAAAGGAACCAGCCTCCCAGAAGCAACAAAATTACGGATCAGCCCAGAAGTTTTACGTGCACGATCCACGGCTAAATCTTTACGACAATAAGTTATCGGGTTACAATGATCAACGTCAGATCGTGCACATGCGCAACGCGAGGAACCAGCAATATTACGTGCCTAGGAAAGATGGCAATCAGCAGTTTTACACGCTGCCCACGAGAAGACCGCAGAGGGACGCGGAACCGCCGCGTAGCGTCACGCCGGACATCACCAGGGGACTCAGGCGCGGGTCATTAAGCGCCATGCACATGCTCGCCAGACACGGGCAGAAAGCGATTTTGGAACAGGATTCGAATCGATACGGCTCGCACGCAGAGTTGAGGACTGAAAATATCGAAACGGAGAACAGGCTGATGCAGGGACAGCAACCACCCATTGTGGATGTCAGAAATAGGTGGGTACTTGGTTGTCAAATTAAATGTTATGGGAACTTTGCTACGGGGAAGGCAGGATTTACGACCTCGCTATATTTCCAAATTTTCAGTTTGAAAAGTCTCTCAGGGAATTCTTAAGTTCTCAAAATTTCAAAGGAAAAATTTCAGACTGTTCAATACTGCCAGCTAATAAATTTGTCCCTCAATGTTCATCGGTGGCAATATAACGAGAGTTGACTGTAACATGAAGCAAGGTCTTTCAAGCTTTTGTGATACATTTTTAAATGGCAGTATAAGAAAGTTTCGTAGTTAATTCAGTCCATTGCTAATGTCAAGAGTTGATCACTCTTAAAATCTTGTCAGCGGCGATATAACGAAAGTCCACCATAAGTATTGTATGAACTACAAACGATAAACCTAACGATTCCCAAGTTGATCAAGTTGATACTGCTTAAGTTTTCCTTCCTCAATATCAATTTTCCTTTTTGGCAATATAACAAGAGTTGGCTGTAATACGAAGCAAGGTCTTTCAAGCTTTTGATACATTTTTAAATGGCAGTATAAGAAAGTTTCTTAGTTAATTCAGCCTACTGCCAATGTCAAGAGTTCATCACTCTTAAAACCTCGTCAGCGGCAATATAACGAAAGTCCACCATAAGTATTATATAAACTTCAAACGATAAACCTAACGATTCCCAAGTTGATCAAGTTGATACTGCTTAAGTTTTCCTTCCTCAATATCAATTTTCCTTTTTGGCAATAAAACGAGAGACCACTCGCAATCCGCGAAATCAATCGGTTTTCTAAGAGCTTCTTTCTTCACCCAGATTCGCAACACCATTAGGGCTTACAGCGCTTGGATATCGATTCTTCGCGTCCTCGCCTATTCGTGATCCCGTTATGAAGTCTCCCAGTGCTGACGCTTTAAAGCACAATCCAATTTCGCCGATCAGGCATACCTGTGACAATAGTTTCAAGTCGTCTACACCGAGCGGACGCGCTATGCCAACTGTTGCCGAACGTTTGGCTCTGACTGCCAACAACAATTGTCCGTCGATGCCGAATTCCGGAAGAAGCACCCCGGTGCAAACATCCTCTGGACGGAGCACCCCGACCAACCTCGTTCTTTCGCCCACGAAGAGCACCATGTCCAACGAGGAGCTGTTCGCTGCTATTCACAAATCGAAGAAGCGACTGAACATCAAGGATGATAGCGAGAACCAATCTCCTTACGGTTCAACCACCTCGCTGGCCAAAATGGCGCCGGGCAGCAGGAATAGCTGGAGCTCGGAGCCGCAAAAGCCTCCGGTATGTAAAATAACTCCTTTGTCTTCTAAGAACTTAAGGTTGTTCGTGCTGACACTTTTGGTACTGTAGATGAGGAGAGTAGTTGGGAGTTGTTTGAAAGTACTATTGTAAGATCGTGCGCTTAGATGTGGTATATTTACCACATCAGGCGTATCAAACCGTTCTATCGTTTCCAAACTTGCGAATTTTACGACTATTGCAAAGATCATGTGTTAAGACACCTTAGATCACATCTTAAGAGACACACAAGCACAGAAATCTTGCAGAGAAGTCCATATCTCTGGAGTAATAAAGTTTGTTCGCATTTCAGGCAACGCCAAACGCGTCGCCGTCGCCCGCGACCTCCCGGCTGGACTTCAAGCGTCTCCTGCTTCAGCAAAGCGTGAAGACGGGTCCCACCAGGCTATCAGCAGCAGAGCAGTTAAAGCTATCGCGTCAACACTGTCAGCAACAGCAATCATCGCCCAGTCAAACAACTCCGTTAGCTAAGGTCCTCAGCCCTCGTTCGGTGTGGAGGTTCCAGACTCCGCGGACGGACGTTTTATCCTCGACCATAATCGAGGACACCGCGGCCGAGGAGAAGGCGATGAAGCCGTCCCCCGAGAACATCTCTCCCGTGTCAAGACTGAGCGCCAGAAGGCAGCTGGACCTGTGCAGCGACCTGCCCGACTACCTGCGGATCAATCAGAACGACAGAGTCCCCAGCTCGGAGACTCTGGCTTCGAAATTGCCCACAAAGTCTTCGACCGATCAGACAACTGACCGTTTGCAGTCCACAAGTAATCCGACCCAGTATTCCAACCCGCAATTGACGCCCTCGTGCCAACAAGCGATCAGTGCCTTCGAGTCGAGAAGGATCAGCAACCAGCTGGCCAGGGCACAGTTCCTGGCTAGCACACCTAATCAGACTACTTGCGTGAAAAAAGTGTTTAGAGCGAGGTCCGTGTCCCCGCAGGACGCCGGCTCGCAGAATGTCGCGCGGAGTCCTAGTGCCCCTACGTTGGAAACTGCCCTTTGATCGGCTGGGTAGTGGGCAGCCTTATCTTTTCACTCGAGTGATTCGGAATTGGAGTATTAAAGTATGCTGTTGAATTGGTACGATGCTGATATAGCGGGGTTGGAAATTTTTTGTGTAACAGAGCTTTCTTATGTTTCCAAGATACGACACTCAAATTCTAGAGTCTAAAGTTTTGAAACTCGTTTGAAGTAAGACTTGATAGAATTCCAAAAATGATCAAATTTTATTCTTCATCAAATTCTATTCTATAGTGAATAGTAAAATGCAAACATTCAAAAGAGTCAAATACTTGTCTCAAGAATTTACAACCTCGCTATATCTGCGCTCAGACGAAAAAGAGAACGAGTCTCTTTCAGTCTAAAAATTGGATAAATAAATAAAAAAGAGTAAGACAATTGAAATACACGATAAGATTACGTCAATATCTTATATCTAATATATAATATTTTTTACTTGGTTCCTAACGTTACCTATTTAATATTAATTTTAATGGAGTATAACGACGTGTGAGTTTTACACCTGAATGTCTTCGGTCGAAATTTTGTTAATAAATTGAGAAAATTATTTATGCGATGGAGGAATTAGTATTACAGTATTGGACTATTTCGACATTGAAAGTAACCTGAAGCGAAGAAAGTTACGGCTGGTGTTTCCTTCAGATGTTGTAATTGAAACCGAAGATTTTTCATACAGTTTTTATTCCTATTCGATATGATACACAAAGAGCGTTGGAAGCAATAAATAGTCCTTTTGCTAATCTAGATTTTAATAGATATATATTTTCGACTTGAAATCTATAGATCGAATCGATCGAGATAATATGAAATTGCAAAATATAGAAATCTGTCCATACGTTTGTGAAATTATTGCAATAATTTTTGATCAATTCGTTAAGCAGTTTTTTCACAATACATTTGTAATTTTTATATCTCCTGCTGAAAATAGGGAAACATTTTTAGCAACGAGATTTTATGTACACATACATATGCACATATATGTATTTGCTACACATTTCCTTCTTATTTTTAAATGTTTGAGAAATTTCAATTTATAATGTTCTGCATAAATTGATAAATTCTCATTTTCATTGATATACATATATTTTATTATGTATAAGATATGTATTGAAGATCCATTTAATTTGAAAAAGTACTGATTTCATTTTAACAGGTTTTATTAATAAAATTCCTGCAAGGAAGAAGTAAGAAATTTTGTTTTAATAATATACATACAAATAAGTTATTTTTGTTTGAAAGTTGAGGAGTAATATAAATGATGGACAGATTTTGTTTAACTATAAATATTTTGTACAGTTTCTTTCACTTAAGAAGAGTAAGGATATTCAACTGCCTTATCTGTCCACTCTTATTAAATATAGGGAGTTTCTTTTTCACTGAACTCCATAAATTCTAACTTAATATTCCTTACTCGTCTTAGCAAAAGAAGTCTACTTTGAAATAAAAGTTCTAACATTTTCATTTACCACTATATCGATTTTGTATCATATAGTCACATTTTCTTTAATCGTAAAAACCGATTTCTGAAATTTCTTAATTTATTTTTGATTTATCGCAATCGAACACGGTCGAAATAATGTAAATAGCACACATGTAATTACGAATGCATTTTGCTTAAAGATTCAATCGCTTGCTTGTCTAGTCGGAGTAGTTTGTTGAACCCTATCTTCTCGAAATTAATAAAGCGTGTAATTTGTATAATCGCGAGTCAGCAAGAGATCAACATTATATTCGGGTGGTGAATAGTAATATATTTGAAGAAGACTAATAACGCGTACAGTAACGACAAAGTTGCCTTAATTAAATTATTTTAAGTTATGTCGTGATCGCGCCACAATTGCAAAGGCAAGTCACGTTAGATTATAAGCTAAAAATGTTTTGTACTTTGCTCAGAATAAAAGAAAACATATTTCATTGAACCATGTCTAATAAAATTATTACCTTCATTCATTCTTAATTTCTTAAATTTCCCACCTTTGATAAGACATTTGAAAAGCGTCCATGAAGTCTCATCTGCCATCTTGAGGTCATCTCACGACTTCACTAAAATTTAAAATGTAGTTTCATAACCTTTTAAGAAACCAAATCATATTACATTACAAGCTAAAAATGTTTTGTACTTTGCTCAGAATGAAAGAAAACATATTTCATTGAACTATGTCTAATAAAATTATTACCTTCATTCATTCTTAATTTCTTAAATTTCCCACCTTTGATAAGACATTTGAAAAGCGTTCATGAAGTCTCATTCGCCATCTTGAGGTCATCTCACTTCACTAAAATTTAAAATGAAGTTTCATAACCTTTTAAAGGGTGGTGAATAGTAATATATTTGAAGAAGACTAATAACGCGTACAGTAACGACAAAGTTGCCTTAATTAAATTATTTTAAGTTATGTCGTGATCGCGCCACAATTGCAAAGGCAAATCATATTACATTACAAGCTAAAAATGTTTTGTACTTTGCTCAGAATAAAAGAAAACATATCTCATTGAACTATGTATACTAAAATTATTACCTTTTCATAGCATTCATTCTTAATTTCTTAAATTTCCCACTTTTAATAAGACACTTGAAAAGCGGCCGTGAAGTGCAATCCGCCATCTTGAAGTCATCTGATACTTCACTAAAACTTAAAATAAAGTTCCATAACATTTTAAAAACCAAATTGCAAAATCTGACTGCATAATTATCCAAAGAATATTTAAAAAAAAAAGTGTGAAATATTGCGTCTTCAAAATCTTACATTAGCGTCGAGCTTAAAATGAAATTAGTCTCTGACGTTCTCATGGAAACGTGCCACACAAAATGTGTCCAACTGTTTCCGGTTATGGGAGTGATGTAGAGTTTACATTTTAAAGTATTTGTTTGCAATTATTAGTACGTTTATATGTAATTGTTAATAAAATTGTAAATATTCGCGTGTATTTATTTTTCGCTAGACATATTTACATGAGAATAGTAAAAATATTTTGATGAAATATGTGCACGAACAGTGACGTGTTTTTATCTTGACAGCATAAACAAAGGTAAAAATTTCGAAAGTATCTCATTTTCTTGCACGTATTTGTGGTCGTTCTATCCATATATTCAAATGCGACAGATTTCGTGTCACGTCCATTTCTAGGTTGCATTAATTATCAGGGAACGTATTTTAGCTTATAAAAGCATTACGTCATTGGATCACGAACATTTGCACTTCGGTACATCAATTCTACATCCTTTTAACTCGTATGACACGTATGTTTCTTGTTAACATGTGTATTCTTAATAATACTATGTTTTGAGGTTAACTCTTATTATTATTACACAGCCATATGTCTACTGATTAGTAAGCTTTATATGTATATATTTTGCTATATGCTGTACTGTATGTTAAATAAATTTTTCATATTCATTGCCGTAGCTTTTCTTTAACAACTTTCCTATTTGGTCACATGGAGCAAATATACTCTGTTCAAAATAAAATATTTGTAGTTCAGTAGTTTCCACTTATTATTCCATATTTTACTCTGATTATTATTCAGTATTGTACCAATTTGTAGAATTTTAGTATATTTTGTACATAATCTATCTGCTAATTTAAATATATTGCTTGTTCTCTAAAGCTACCACATTAAAAGGCGCAATATTCAGCACGCAGATAAGAAGCGGATAAAATTTTACATGTTATTTCCTCATATTTATGTAGCTAAAGTATGATGGTATAATACAGTGTCTATATGCTCCATACTATACTGTTAATATTTGTGTTTAACCTGATTAAAATATATTTTTATGTTTATCATGTAAATAATTTTGTAACAATTGTAATAATTTATAAAGATCTACTGATTTAATACTTGTCAATAAAAATGTGTGATATTGTTCATTTGTATAAAGACTGTAATAAAAACATATATGAAATAATTAAATATTCACATTCTTCTTATTTAATGCTTTATATAAGATGTCATTGGATCGGTACAAAGTTCTTAATTAAATGTGTTGTAAGCATTAAATATGTCAGCAGGTAGCCCTTGTATATTCTGACATTCAATATCTATACACGTAGGTAATATAATTAGTTTACCCCAGTCGAGCTTTCATCCAATTAGTCTATGAAAATGAGAGCAATAGGTGACACAGAGCTTGACCAGTTTATACAAACTTTCACTGCCATTGACATCATAATTTCTTACTCACAAAAATCTAAATTTCTTTTCTTGTGTTAATTATAATGAGGTTGTTTCTGTTATTAATAATTTTACAGTTTATAATGTGGGGTACATCAGAAGAGCCACCAGGGACAATGGAAGGGGATTCTCCTGAATCAGTGGTGCAAGCAAAAGAAAAATGTGAACAAAATAAAAGTCAGTTGGAATCTCTTAAAGAGATTATGTTAAAAAATAAGCAAAGTTTAAAGAAGAAAGAAGAGGAGGTTCAGGTAATAAAAATTTTTTTATTATAGTCTATCAAAATCTCCAGTGCTTTTGTTTTAAAATTTAATTGTGATTTAGGAATATGCAAGGAGACTATCCAAAATTAAATCTAGAGCCAAATTGTCCCGTAGAAGTAAAGAAGGAAATGTACCTTGCAAAGATGTAACTCCCTCATCCGAAACATCGTCGGTGGATACGTCCGAAGAAACCATCGACGATATTAGTCAAGCAAAAACTGCGAAAGCAAAGTCTACTTTACTCCAAAAGAAATTGGCAGAGAATAGGAAAGTATTTGAACAACGTAGCAAAGAAATAACCGAAACCAAACGAGCAGTTGAAGAAAAAGTAGAGGCTATTAGGCAACAATTGGAAGAGTCAGATGCATCAGCAATGGGTTTTCAGAAGGATCAGTTACCTGTTATACCTGTTCAGCCAGTCATGATTACTTCAGATGTTAGTAATCAACTTTTCTTTTATTCTTTTACCAAGTTAATCAAAATTATATTTAACCTCTTTTTATAGGTCATGTCGCCAAAACAGATAGAGAGTATCCAAGAGTATGAGAGTACCATTGCAGTACTTTATAGCAAAATTGTTGAATTGGAAGCTACCATTGTAGACCTTCAAGAGAACTTGAAAGAAAAGGATTCGGTTATTGATTCTAAAACAAAGGCAGTCACCCTTATGTCCGCCGATCTTTCGAAAAAGGGTAAAACAACTTTGGACACCCTCGAAGACGTGAGAGACGAAATGCGAACGATGCAGGAACATTTTATATTGTTAGAGTCATCGCTGAAAAATAAAAATCAGAACCTCTTAGAGCAACTGCAAGAAAGGGATAATAAAATAACGGAATTGGAAGATTTGGTTAAACGGTAATTTTACAAATGTGTATTTCAATATTTTTTGTAATCGATCAGAAAATGTTTATTTAATATTAATGTTTGTTTAGATTTGAACAACGGGAATTGTCTACGACAACTAGTGCCGATACATTAATGGAAACAAGAGAAGCCATGAAATCCATGCAAGAAAATTTTGTACTTATAGAATCTTCCCTGAAGGCCAAAAATGATAATCTACTTCAGCAGCTAACAGATAACGAATTGAAGCTAGCAGAAGCTAATGAACGAATATTTAAACTAGAATCGGGTATTGGAATAGTTAAGGACCCAACGGTTGACGATTTACAATATAAACTAGAAAAGTTGGAACATAGCAATAAACAATTACAGGATGAGAAATATGAACTGCAGAAAAATGTAGCAGAATTACAAGATAAAATTCTTAATTCATCAGTGAACGGTAACGGTGCTTTAATCGAGAAAGATAATAGGATAGTTGAACTTGAAAACTTAATTGAAGAATTGAAGCAGTCTAACAAGCTCCTTGAAGAAGAATCCAAAGCAGAGTTACAACAGAAAGTAGCGGATTTAACTGAGAAAAATGAAGAATATTCGAATAAAATAGCAGATCTTGAAAGTTTGGTGCACGACCTCGAGGAACAAAATAGCGATATTGCGGCGAGGTTATCCGACAAGAGTAGTCTTAAAGAAGATGAAAAAGTGGCAAAACTTACTAAAGAATTAGAAGAACTGAATAAGAGTATGATAAAGATTAAGGCACAGCATAGGAGTAAAGTAAAGAATCTGCAGAAACAATTAGAAAATGTTAAGAAGGTGAAATATTTTCATATAATCTTATGTGACACCTTTGATAGAAGGTTATTATTTTGATTATTTTTGTTCGGATATGCTTATGCATTTTATGATTCAGGTATCTGATACAAACGCGGAACTTGTCAGACTGGGGAATCAAGTGGCATTATTAGAGGAAGAGAAAGGTAACCTACAGCTGAGTCTGGTAGACTTTGACGAGCTTAAAGGTAGGAACCAGGACAGATATTCTGTCATTGCTGTTTCCATTGTTCTAGTTTCGTTATCAATTGTATATGCAATGCATTGCCCATTTATATTGTTCTTAAAACAATTATCCGCAGCCCTGTTTTCCTTGCTAAGGAAACGTTCCAATGTCTATATATATATTTACATGTAATAAATTTAATGATTTATACAAAGCACTTTTTGCCACATATGTAAAAGTCGATTTGGTACGACTGTTTATGAACATTCTTGTTTTTCTCGATGCTTTTTGTGGAACGTTGATACCGAGATAATTAGAAGTGCGCTAATTTCTGGTGATGGAATCATATTATATGATTGTTAGTTAGATATGCTAAATTGTAAAAAACGTTTATACAAAATACTAATCAATTACACCGAATACCTGTTATTGTTTTAATATAACATGGTACCTACTTTACTTGTCAAAGTTTGCTACATTTTGAATCATAGACCTGGATTTATTTATTAGAATGTAATATTTATATTTTATGTCACTTTTATATAATTTTTAGCATAGTCGATGTTCTTGCATGAGAAATCAAATGATATATTCCTTTATTTTATTTTACAAACCGTTTCCTGTATAAAATCAATGCTTCAATGCATTAACAGATGAACAAATTTATATTTGCTCTAATTAATTGGGAAATTGCTTATTGAATGTACGGTTTTAAAGCTGCAAACCTTGCTTAATGTTAAATGGAAGGCTAATCTGCAATAACAATTAACATATATACAGAGTGTCTATAAAAGAAAATTGTGGTAGCTGTTCTTTGTGCCAATGCATAACCTATAACTTTATTTTTGAGACCATTCAAAATTGGGTATTAGAATTCTAAGAAATTATAGAAAGTTTTAGATGCTTTATTTCACTAATTTATGCACATTAATTTATTTTTCATTATTTATATATTTATTTTTAACTTAAAACAATATAAGTTATCATTCAACCCTGGGTATGTTAAGTACTGAATGATTGAGCTAATAAATATGTGATTAAACTTGTGTAAAGTCAAGCAACTAATTTTCAACTGTTCATATGTTAAAGACAAAACTGTAAATAGTATAAAAATTTTATAAAAAATATTTTGATTTGTCTTTACATGGAGGCTGCAGTTTTTGATGTGCACAACATTTTTAAGACACCCTGTATATTTAAAAGATTTTGTATTTGTACATAAAACTTAAGTTACTTGCTTTGCATTTACTATCAATTAATGTCAATTATTACATACATCATTGGCATGTTGTACGATTTGCATAGCCTCAGCAGGAGATTGGCAAGAACGTGTTGTTGATCTTGAAAGTAAAGTTTCTGCTCAAACGAAAGAAATTGAAATGCAAATTGAAGCCATTGCCACTTTAGAGAATCAAAAATTGGATCTTATGCAAGGTAATTGGTGCGCTCTATTTAATGTGCTAATTTCTATACTAAATTGATATCAAATAATTATATAATCAATCAATTTAAATGATAAGCAAACAGAATCAGTTTGCTGTAGCACGAATATTTGTTTCTTCGTTTTAGAGCTGCACATGGCAAAACAAGAGATTTCATCTTTGGAGGCAGAGAATGCAGAGTCTGAAAATCTTCGAGTAACTGCAGAGATGAAAGTTGTTGATCTCGAAGAACAGTTGGAAGCAATGCACAAATTGCAAAATGATAACAAATTGGAATCTTCATCCGAAGCTAATCATACAGAGCTGGTTAAACAAGTGGAAGCTTTGACTCAGGAGAATGCAGAACTGTACAACAGGATATCAAAATTGGAAGAAAAAGGAACATCTGAAACTGGATCCACAGAATCATTCGAAGCCATACAGGAATTAGACAAGAGTGATTTATTGAAAAAGATAGAGGACTTGATACATAAGAACAACGAATTAACTCTTAAAGTAAGTCAATACCAAGAGAGAGAGAATTCTCATGCCGGATCTACAGAATGGTTAGAAAAGATAAACGACGGGGACAAAAATGAACTGTTGAAGAAGATTGAACAGTTGACTCAGGAGAACAATAACTTATCAATGAAGTTAAGTAAAATAGAAGAAAAAGGATCTGACACAGGCTCGACAGAATCTTTTGAACGTATTCCGGAGCATACTGAGAGTATGATGAAAATTGAGCTGCTGACGCAAGAGAATTACGAGTTGGTGATCAAGTCCACAAAGCTTGAAGAACAGTTGGAGAAAATGGTACACATAGAAGCTAAACTAAAAGCAGAAATCGCAATTCTGCAACAGGAGAACGTAGACAAAGCTTCAGAGGTAGACAGACTTGAGGCTGAAGTGAAAGACCTTGTCGAAGAAAAAGATCAGTTACAAAAACAAATTGAATTATTGACCACAAAGAAGAGTGACTTGGTGCATACTAAATTAGAAGACCAAAGTTCTCCACTGGAACCAGAAACAGTTGACTCTTCTGAAGAATCGAAGGCTGCTGATATTAAAGCAGAAGGTGATGCATCAACTGAGGACATAACTCAGGATCTCCAGGTCAACGAATTAAGCAAGAGAATAGAAGAGTTGCTGCAGGAAAATGGACAGGTGCTTTCAAAGCTGTCAGACCTTGAAACCTACAATGAGAGGTTGAAGGAAGACCTCAAGGAAATGGCCGAAGAGAAAGAAAAATTGCAAGCAAAAATAAATGAAATGCAAGATGAGAAGATAGACACAGTTCAAAAATCGGAAGAACTGAGTCGAGCGAAGAGAAGTGTCGTTCAAGAGAAAGAAGAAACGGAAGAATTTTTGTCCCAGCAAACAGATACGATCGTTGCTTCTTTGGAACACGACATAGAAGAATGTAAGAGGTTGATCGTCGACCAGACTGGCCTAATAGAAGAGATGAAGATAAAGCTAGCACACAAGGAAGCAGAGTTGGAAGAGAAGAGTAAGCAGATCATGGAACATGAAGCGTCTGGAAAGAGGATTGAGAGCTTGGAGCACGAGCTGATGGAGATGCAGAACACTATAGAAGAGTGGAAATACAAGTGCAACGAGATGCAAGAGAAAATGGAGAAGCTGGAAGAAGGAAAAGCTTCCATCGAAGAAGGATTCAGAATGTTGCAGAATGAGAACAAGCTTCTGCAGGAAGAGAACAAAGAGAAGGACGCAGAGACCGCTCAACTGAAGCAACAGTTGCAGAATACTATGACAACCTTCGAATCGAAGCTTCAAGAGCAGCTTGCAGCGGTGTCGCAGAAGGAGGACGAAATCGTCGCCTTGAAGCAGAGCATCGAAGAGAAGGATCAAGAGTTACACGCCAAGTACACCGAACTGCAAAATAAGATGATCACGATAGACAGCTTGCAGGATGAGTGCAACAACTGCAAAATGTTGCTTCAGGAGAAAAATAATGCGCTGACGGAGATGTCTGACGAGGTTCTGAACCTTAACAACGCGATGAAGAGCAAGGAAGATGAAATTTACGCTTTGAGAAAGGAAGTCGAGGAACTGAACGAGAAGGTGGAGGAGTCGAAGCCTTTGAAGGACTACAACGAATTGTTGGAGCAGATCAAAAATAAGGATATGATCCTGGACGAGCTGCATTGCAGGATCAACGCTACGACGAAGGAGAACAGTAACCTGTTAGAGAAGGTGAAGACCTTGTCCCAGCAGAATGGCAACGTTCAGAGTCAGTTGGCTGACAAGCAAAAGGAACTCGTCGACCTGGCTATGACAAAGGATCACCTGGAGGCTCAGATAGTAGAAATTAGGAACGACAAGGAGGACGCTGAAAGACGAGTCTGGCAACTACAGGACATCATAGACAATCATGGCAAATTCGTCGAGGACCTTCAAGCAGAATTACGGGGTTCCTACAAGAAGCTGGAGCAGCTGAAGGCTAAGCACTCGGAGGACGTCGCGCTACAGAATCAGAGGCTCGAGAACTTGATAGAGGAGCTGAACTCTAAAACGCAGGAATGCGAAACGTTGAGGGATGAGCTGCAAGAGAAAGAGCGACTAGTCGGTCAGAACGTCACTGAAGAGGTTAAAGTCGCGCTGGAGTCCAAGGTCGCTGATCTGGAGCAGAAGTTGAAGGACTACGAGGACAAGATACAGGCGCAGCTGGAAAAGATGAAGAAGTTAGCTGCGAACTTGAAGAAGAAGACCACGGTGTGCCAGGAGTTAGAAACCAGGGTTACGGAGCTCGAAGAGAAGTGGACGACCGAAAAGGACGAGAAGGAGGCGAAGAACAAGCAGATCCAGGACGTGGAGATCGCGATGCGCGAGAAGGACAATAGAATAGCAGACCTTGAGGAGAAACTTGCGCAGGCGAAGAACGAGAATGCGGAGGCCTTCAAGAACATCGACGAGTTGACTAACGATCTGACCAACTCGAAGGAGAAGATGTCCTTGCTGTCGGAGCAGATCCAGGAAATGGAGGCGGAGATCACCCACCTGCGATCCGAGCTCGAAACCCGAACAGCAGAGCTCGCCGCTGAAAAAGAAGCCAAAGAAAATACAGTTTCAGATTACGAGGCCTACAAGCTACATGTCATTCGAGAGAACGAGCTGAAGCAGTCGGAACTTGAAGAGGTAAAGGAGAAGGCGAGGGAGCTGAGCGTCAGGATGCAGGTTATGGAGGCGGAATACATGGAGCAGCTCGCGCTGATCAAGAATCTGACGGCAGAGAACGGGTTGCTGTTGTCCAAGCAGACACAGATTAACGAAAAATTGGAGAACGTTGAGAAAGAGTCGGAGGAGCGAAGACTGTTGCTCTTGCAGTTGCAGAAGGTGAGCGTGGACACTGTGACCGAGAGCATACAGGTCACAGAGGAGGAGAGCACCGAGGATGAAGGAAAAGTCGGCGGTGCGCAACACTGCGATCATTGCAAGCAGTGTCAGACTTTGGTTCAAGCTTTGGAAGCAAAGTTACAGGAACGAGAAGCTGAAATCGAGAACCTCGACAACGAACTGGCTAACTCGATCGGTAACTTCGTTCGAATGAATCAGATTAGCGGGAGAAACAGAAGCTTAGAGGATCCCTACAACGATCTTCTGTTCCAGTACAACTCGTTGATATCCAACCATGAAGAGGTGAAGGCGAGACTGGAGGAAACCTTGAAAGCGAACAAGGAGCTCATAGAAAAGATCGAGCACTTGCAGTCCGTGAATGCTACCCTGGAGGAGACCGTGACAACTCAGCAAACCGTGGAGGACCGCGAAGGGCGAGCAGTGATCATTGATTTGGCGAAGAAGTGCGAGGAGGTAGAGACCTATAAGAAACACGTTGACGAATTGGAACAGCGATTGAACTCTCAGATGATTCTCCTTCAGTCAGCGGAGGACGTCAAGAATAATTTGCAGCAAGAGCTCGAGAGCCTGAAGAGCGACAAGGAGACGGATCAGAAGTTGATAGAAGATTTGAGAACCGAACTTGACGGGTTCAAAAATCAGAGCGCTGAGTTTGAAAAGAGGGTAGTCAAGAGGGAAGCAGCCTTTCCTCAAGATCAACAGGACAACGCTGCAAGGTTATTCGATGCCTCCAAGATCTTCGGAACGTCCTTCGCTCCTGACACCGATTTCCCGACCGACAGGGACGCGAAACGGTTGCAGGATCTGCTCCAAGAGAAGGAGGCGCAGTGTTCGAACCTGACGCAGGAGATCAACCACCTGCAGAAGCTGATGGTGGAAGAGAGGTCGCAGATGTCACAGAACTACAGCCAGTGCGTTCAAGAGTTAGAATTCTCGCGCGAGAAGCTAAAGACTCTAGAAAATTTAGAGCAGACGCTGAGCGAGAAAGATAGGCAGATCGACGGGTTGAACACTGAGGTACAAAATCTGAACCTTCAGATAATGGAGCTGCAAAACGATACGTTACTGGCCAAGGACAGTCAACTCGAAGAACTGAGGTCGAGTCTGAATTCCACCAGAGAGGTTCTGGACGCGATGGCCGCCGAGCGGGACCAACAGAGCGCCCTGTTGGAGTCGTTCAAGGTACAGGTGACAAATCTGGAGGCAGAGCTGAAGAATTCCACCGATTCCGAAGTGATCTTCGACTTGGAGAGTCGCGTATCCTCCTTGACGAAGGAGAGAGACCTGATGCAGTTGCAAGTGAACGACCTGACGAGGTCCATAGAGGAGTTGAAGGACTCGATGGGCGCTGAGTTGCATAAAGTAACTCGTGAGAGAGACGAAGCGAAAGATATGGCCTCCAATCTTAGTCGAGCCCTCGAAGAAGCCTACAGACAGTCCCAAACGTCCACCATGACTGACACATCGACCAAGGAGTCCACTCCTGAGGAAGTTCCGCGAGATCTGGAGAACCCACCTACAAAACTCGTTTTTGAAGATGTACAGGGAGCTGCGCCAGCGGTGAACCCATCAGAGATTCCTGCAGACGAGGGAACAGGATGGGACGAAGAAAAGCTGAACGTTGACGAAGAAACCTGGGGCTGGGACGCGGACGAAGCTCAGCTGATTGGCGAACCCGTTACCGCGAGTCTCATTCCCAGCGCGGAGTTACAACTGCGGGCAAAAGTGGACGACCTCGAGGAGCGAATTAGGGACCTGGAGAAGGAGCGCGACAAGATGCTGGAAGAGAGCAAAGCGGCCCAGCTGAGGAACGCGAAGATGATCAAGAAGCTGAAGGGGTACAAGGGGCAGGTGGAGAGCCTGCAGCAGCAGTTGAAGATACAGAAATCGACCAGCGAGTTCGATCAGCTTGATTCGGCGATAGAGGAGGAGCTGAAGTGCCAGATCAGCAAGTTGGAAAAAACCTTGAAGGAGCTTCAAGAGGAGCAGAAGAACACCGTCGCCGAGAAGGAGGCTTTGACGAAGCGTTTGGACGTCCTCGTGTCTGCGAACGAGAGGTATATGGAGATGAAGGAGAGGCAGGACATGGAAATGGAGGTGTTGCGAATTCGGAACAAGGAACTGTCTGACAAGGTGGAGGCTCTCGACAGGAAGCTGCAGAGTGCAGCCAATCCAGAAGAGGGCGACGTTCCCCGACACGAAGGCGAGAAAAGCAAACCTGATCAGGACTACGAAAGTTCGTATAAACTTTATAAGGACAAGTACGAACGCCTCGATGACGAGGTGGATAAACTCAAGGAAGAGATAGAGCTTCGGCAGTCGGAGAACGAACAGCTGGAAGACGTTCTTAGGAAGCAGCATGTAGAAATAACTAAGTTGGAGTCGAAACTAAAGGAAGAAGAGAACAAGTCCATCGAAATAGTGGACGACTTGAATAAAAGGATCTCGGAGCTGCAGTCGATGCTCAGCAAGTCCAGAGAGGAGTATGACCTCCTGAGGAAGCAGTACGAGCAGAGTTTAATGGACGCTAACGACCAGGTGACCGCCATGCGACAGAACACCGACTTCTTCAAGGAAGAAACTCACGACAGGATCGCCAAACTGGAAACGCAGGTCGCTGAGCTCCGTCAACATCTGCAGACATCAGAATCGAACGTCACGGACCTACAGAAGAATCTGCAGGATGTTTCCCAAGAGAAACTGAGCCTGGAAGAAAGACTGACTTCTTCGGAAAAACAGCTTTCTTCGGTAAACGCTTCTATGGCTGAGGTGACAGATCTGCTGAATATCAGGATACAGGAAGTTGCGGACTTGAAGCAGGAGCTCCAGAGGCAGTATGTCAGTCACGAAGAGGTGAAGATGAAGCTGCAGGAGACCATACAGGAGTTGAACCAGGAGCTCGTTGAGAAGAAACAACAGTTGGAGAACTTGAAGACGTCGCTAACCGAAAAGGAAAACGAATTCGTCCAGCAACAGAGCGTAGAAACCGTCAGCGCCCTGGTGAGCCAGGCTACTCAAGAACTTGTTCAGAAACATGCGATCGAGGTGGAAGAGAAAGAGAAACAGATACAGAATCTTCAGGGTAAACTGTCGACCCTAGAAGCAGCCATGAACGATCCCTTAGAGAAACAGAACAGCGCTCAATTCGATGCCCAGCAGCAGGAGCTTGAATTGCTGAAGCAGAATTTGGCGGGAAAGGACTCGACCTTGGAATCTTTACAGACAGATTTGGCGTTCTTGAAGGACCAACTGACCGAGAAGGAAAAGAACTTGTTCAGCAGCAACGAAAGGCTTCAAGGACTCGCCGCAGAGAATGAAGGTTACTTGGAAACAATTGGAAAATTGCAGCAACGTGTGCAAGAGCTTGAAGCGATCCCCGGCAACACGAATGAACTGGTATCGAGGATTCAGAGTCTGGAAGCGACCTTGATGGAAAAAGAATCGCTCCTAACGCAGACCACCGAGCAATGCACTATCTTGCAGAAGTATGAGCTGGAGGTTGATACCCTGAAGAAGCAGCTGACGGAGACAACCGAACAGGTAAATCACCTGAACTCTGATCTGGAAGCTACTCGCAGAGTGCTTGAAGAGACCAGACAGGCCTTGAGCGAGAAGACCTGTATGTTGGAGAAGTGTAATCGTATGCTGAAAGAAACGGAATCAGTTGCCGAACCTAGTCGGCCAAGTGCCGCGAACATAGTGGACGGTCTGCCACTCTTCAGGATGGGCGACGACAATCACGACCACCAGCAGACGATCGACGCGATGCAGGCTGATCTTGAGAAGAAGCAGCAAGAGATTGAACATTTAAAGTACGTGCTGAGCGAGAGCACGTACCCAAATATTATCCAGGAGATGCAGGATACTATCAACTGTCTATACGACGAGAAGTCCGAGCTGAAGTCGACCTTGGATATGGTCAGCCAGCAAGTCACGGATAACGAGAAGGCGATCGCCGATCTGAAGGCACAGAATCAGGATCTACTCTCCAAGGAAGCCAACCTGGCTTCCAGGGAACGAACGTCCATGCAGGATCAGGAGAACATCGTTAAATTGCAGAACGAGTTGCATACTAAAGAACAAGAGATCAACGAGCTGAAGTACATTATAGCTGAAAAGGACTCGCAGTTGTCCCTTCAGGCGAGTATGGAGCCTCAGTCCGACGACTTCGAGTTGCGCGAGATGGTGCAGAGGCTGACTGCCGACCTGTATGGCAGGGAGCAGGAGGTTCAGCAGCTGAAGTCAACCATTGCAGGACTGCAGATGGAAGTCTCCCGTCTGCAGGAGTTCGAGAGACTCTCGGAGGAGACCAAGGACGCCATACAGAAGCTTAACGAGGAGAAGGAGCGGATAAGGTTGGAGGCGCAGGAATTCCTAGAAAGAAAGCTGCAGGAGAAGGAAATGGAAATAGGTGAAATAAAGCAGAGGTTGTTCGCTGAAAACCAACGAATCCTGGAAGAGTTACAGTTGAGGGACAGGGACATCGAGAACCTGAAGAGGCTGCTGCAAGAGTCTTCCGTGAGGGAGCAGACGATGATGAATAAGCTACATCAGAATGAGGAGAACATTGCTAGGATCAGCAACGATTTGGCGGAGAAGGAACGAAGATTGGCAGAGCTAAGTATCACCAAGGACACAGAGCTTCACAATTTGAAGGTTCAGATCCATGAAAAGGAAGCTCGCATAGAAGAGCTCATGTTACTGTCCGATGAAGAAGAGAAACAACTGAAGGAATTGAGGAACGTACTAGAAGCTAGGGAAACGGAGATAAATTCTCTGAAGAAACTGTTGGAGGATAAAGTAAAGGAATTCGAACTGATTCAAAATGTCTTGAAAAAGGACGTTCCTGTAGTTCAAGCTTCCACGGCACAAGGCGAGAAATCTTCTGATGAGGAGAACAAAGCGTTCATATCGCAGGAGTTAGACTTTGCTATGTACATGCTTCATCAACGAGACGTCAGGTGCGAAGAACTGACGCATGAACTAATGCAGTTGCTCGAAGAACGAGACACTTTGCAGTTGCGTTTGTCTAACGCAATTAGAGTAAACGAGGAGCTGAGGAGGGCGGGTGGTTCCGATGATACTCAGAAGAATGAAGCCTCCACCTCAGTTAGCGAAGAACCAATGGTGGAACATCCTTCGCCTTCCAAATCCCAAGGACCTGTTGAGATTGCCAAGGAGGCCATTGATGCTCCCATTGGGGAAGATAAAGAGTCTCTTGCCCTGAAGTATGTATCATTATTTAACTGGTAGTTAATTTATTTTTTAGTTTTATTCTTTTATTCATTGGGTGGTTGAAAATAACTGTCTCTTTAATGTCAATGTCTTTCAATAACCTTAAAGTACATAACCTTTTATCTTAGAAACATGAAGATTGATTTCTATTAAACAATTTGAATTACTTCTATAAAAAGCTTTCGTTGAACATTATGCTAATACCATGATTACGCATTTGTTCAGCCATTAATTTAGCATAGCACGTAGGAGATCTGGATACGAGCTTTAGAAGTTAACCCATATTGTCCTCTGTAGTTCCATGAAATTTGCAAGTGTCTCCAAATTAATTAGTGTCTCCAAAATGATCAAGATGTATTCCCTTAAATATCGCCTTTATTTTGAGAAGCAGTCATGTGACATTTTTCCAGTCCTCCCTACAGAATGTTAAAAATGCAAAGGTTTGATCAGACTTTTCCTTTCATATTTCCTACTGTTCTCATGTACTAAATATCTATATCTTTAGTTAGCATTGAATACAGAAATTGTTTGTTTCTTTATCCAAACGTGTTAACTCATGTTGATTTGTATCACGTAAGCTCCTTATTACACTGTACAAGCTAGTTTTCCCTTTAGGCTGTCGCAGTTGCACACGGTGAACCATGCAAAAGACGTGAGATTGAGGGATGAACGAGAGTTGAGACATATCCAGCAAATGTCTTTGCTAGCACACAAAGATGTTCTAAGTACCTTACCACCTGAAGCAGCTGCCAGGCTCGTCAATGCAAATTATACACTCTGTACGTATTATCAAATGAGTTTACTACAACATACAGTGCTCTTCATCACAGCTTTTTGATTTGTAGTTGTAGCAAATAATTATTTCTTTCAAAATGTACAATTTTTCTATGTAGCATTTTGTATGGATTTTTGTGTCGAGGACTTTTAATTGTTTTAAGGAGATCAAATAAATATTTTTGAATTTGTTTACAGCTAGAGACGTTCAAAGCCAGTCGAGCGTTCTGTTTAATTGGTTGTGGGGAAAAAGGTAAATATTTCATACATTTGATGCTATATTTATTAAGTATTATTACTATTATATGAATACTTTGTTATAGTACGCCAAAAGTGGTACATATGTGATGGGATACCATGAACACCAAAGTGGACACTATCCTTGCCTTTTGGACACATTCCTGCCAAGTGCCAACTGCCAAACTATTCCTGTCATTTGGACTAGATCAGAGGAGATAAAATCGCAATTACGTTTTTTAAGACGTTTCGACTGGTTCCTTAAAATTGCGAGAGCGTGATAACACTGTCCAATACATTTCAATTTTTTTATGTGTTTCGATATCCACTATACATTTTCTAGAATCTCGTCTATTGATTGTGAGTCTATCATTTTTCATCTTATATATATTTAGATATTAAGTTAGGTTAAGTATCTTGTTTATCAACTTGAGTACCAAGATTTAATTTCTTTCTAAATATTTATCATAAATTTGGTTTCAAGAAGGGAAGATAATTTGGAGATCCATAATCAATATATGAAACTTAATAGGAAATGCACAGTGGATGACAAAACACCAATTAGGTGTTGGACAGTGTACTGTAAAAATGTTAAGTGCTTCACTCAATCTAAAGGTCTAAAGTAACCGTATTTTTAATTCGACACTATGTGTTGATCATGATTCCTTGAGGCTTCTAAAGAAAGAAAAAGAGAATAAAAAAATACAAAGTCGTTCCTCTTCGGAACAGAAGAGCTTCGGAAGAAATGACTTTTAACTGTATTATAATCGTTGTATAGCCATCGTGCTTAAGTGAATTGTAAACAAAACATTGCTTTGGAAAAAATGTATATTTCAGTTATTTTATTAGTTACAAATTGTTAATAGTTAATAGATATCCTTCCCACATTGGTAGAATTCGTGAAGAGGTGATTTAGTTCCGTTAGTTTCCATCTTCTACCGCTAGATGGCTAATGACTTTGATCCACAATTTCGCAATGGGTCACTAGATGGCGCCCACATCTTTTTTAGACACCTGTATAAATGGAAGCCTCCTAGGAAAATTTGTGGAAAGCGGACTTAGGAAAATCAGAGGTTTTAGACCAACGATGTTTGCAAATCAACAAATGTATTTTTGTAAAACAGTGAGGGAACTTATTCATAAATCTAACACAATCGTGTCAATGCATGTTTGGTATCGTCCTCGTCATGAGAAAATGTATGTGCATACTCAATATGTTTGCTTTTGGTTTTGGACAATCTAGAGGGAGCTGCAGATGTTTTTATCTTACAAAACTATTTGTACCGCTTTACCTAGATATAGTTGTACTATGGTACATTCTCTCACTTCGAGGACTATATCAACCGGTCAAATATTTGTGAACATAGTGAACTATTTACAAGCGTGCACAATATTCAGTGCGAGGAAAGAGTACAACAGACTTGCTCAACAAGCGGTACCTCAAGTTTAAAAATTGACCTCATGCCATCAGCGATATGATGCCACATACCGTGTGGATGATACTTCAGTAAAGATTGCACAAGACAGAAATGCTACATTAAATTTTCTTCAATTTACAAATTAACATTTGCTTCATACACATTTCATTTGTTGAAATATCAAAATTCTTGCGCATCTTCGTCAATTTATGTCTTCACGTCTCAGTGAACCTTCGCGTTTCTCCACAATTCTGGACATGGAGAACGCATCTTCAGAGGTGCAAGCAACCGTCTCCTGTTCATTTCTGTACTCGAGGTTCTCCGAGGCCTTCGAGTTACATTTGCCACATTTCAAAGCGATCAGCGTCATAACACCGACGACGAAGAGGCCGCAGATGACGGACATGACAGCGATAGCAGGTGCAGAACGTTTGTGAGACTCATCGGTTCCGGTGAGACTCAGAGCCAGAGGATGGGGGTCGTCCCAAGTGGTCCATGTATTGTTCCAAAGTGCTGGGTTCGCTCTGGGATCGCCGTTCACGTTGCTGGGCGGTACGGTGGTCAACCTGTAATTCATTAGAACCCTTTCCATGATGGCTAGGATCAGGGGTCTTTTGTCGGCGAGGTTCACCATCTCGCATGGGTCTTTCTCTATGTTGAAGAGACAGGGTGCTGCTGTTGGGTCGCAAGGAATCTGAAAGAATGTTAGGTTAGGTTAATAGAAACTTGAGAGTCTTCAGGTTTGGCTAGGTTAGGTTATTTGCTGAAGTATAGAAACTTGAGAACCTTCAGATTTAGCTAGGTTAGGTTATTTGCTTAAGTATAGAAACTTGAGAGCCTTCAGGTTTAGCTAGGTTAGGTTATTTGCTTAGGTATAGAAACTTGAGAGTCTTCAGGTTTGGCTAGGTTAGGTTATTTGATTAATAGAAACTTGAGAGTCTTCAGGTCTGGTTAGGTTACTTAGTTAACTACAGAAACTCGACACTTCAATTTGTACTAACCCTGTTTTCTTCCTTGACGTTGCACTGCACCCTAGCATCATTCCTCAGCTGAAATATTTTCTCAGCTGACAGTATCTTCTCCTCGAAATCAATCTTCGAACTTGTGTTTTTCTTTTTCTTCAGTTCCTTTGCCTGTTTGGCAGTGAGGACGCCCGAAATGGCAACCCCGGCTTTGCTGTACAGCACTTTGTCAGGATCATATTTGGGCGGGATGCCCTCTGAAGGAGCCCCGGTTGCTCCCACCCATGCTCTGCCGGTTTCTGTCTCACCGATCACGTACTTGAAGTCGCCTCGTCTTATAGATGCGTACTTGCTTATGTCGTCGATGTTGAGGACCACGTCTGATCTGGGGCTGATCTTGTCTGATCTCAATGCGGGCCAGAGATCGAATCCATCGATGTTGCCGAGCTGTTTGCTATCCACTCCTTTGAAATAGAGGTTATGCCACGTATTAACTATTACAAATCAATTTCAGCTCATAAAGGCACAAAAGTCTTTCTACAATCTACATAACTATTTTAACTTCATAAAGAGTATAAACATTTTTACCTCTCGTTGAGATAGTTTCCCTAATACGTCTGACAAGATGGCAGTCAAATTACCTGCTGCAGACAGGAGCGTAGGAAGCCAGTCGGCAATGAACATCATTTGGTTCGAGACTCTTTGTGACTCCTTGATCAGAGGACTCCAAATGGCGGCTACCCCTCTTGTTCCCCCTTCCCATGGACTGTCTTTTATCTACAAAATATGAGGGCTATTCAAGAACGATGCGTGAGATTGTTGCGAAGGATATGAGAAGGATTTACGCCTCGCAGAGGATAATTGCTGCCTTGGTTACTCAAGGAACCTTGGGTTGGTGCTCCGTTGTCGCTCATGAACAGCACTATGCTGTTCTCCAGCATTCCACGTTTCCTCAGAGCGTCCATCACCTCGCCGACACTTTGGTCCACTTTCGAGACGACGGCTGCAAAGGGTAAGCATCGATTTCAGGTATTTTTGTCTGATAGATCAACCGTCCATTGAAGAACTAGTTAATTCTGAACTAAATATTGTCTCAAACGTAACCAAGCGGACGCGGAGGAAGGAAAATGGCTGCCGCGTCACGTGACCGCAACATGGCGGACGGCTTGGTCCACCGCCTCGCACTTTTAAAGAACTTTTAAGGCGAATTAAAACGGAGAACGAAAATGCATTTATAACGATAATTCTAAGCGCGACGGAACAAGCGTAGATCATATATGATAATTCACATTGGCGCCGAAACATCCACGAACACAAGCTACTAAGGTTACGTTTCTTGAAAAAATTTACCAGCTTGTATTCTCCTTTCGGGATCAAGAATGTACGAAAACCTTGCAATGTCCTCGTCAGAAGCTCGCAAAAGTCGGTTCGGATTTCCTTTATGCGGTGCTAAATGTGCTAAATACAGAAACATTGGATCGTCCTTGTCGTGTTCATTGATCAATCGCACTGCTTCCTCCGTGAAAAGATCCGTAGAGTATTTGCCTTGAGTGTCCCAAGCTGCTGTGAGATTTCGTCTCATGTCGAGACCCATAAACTCACCGAACTGTGGATCCTGAGAAAATAGCATACCATTCTTAACAGCAACTTATGTTGCATTTACCAAATACGTGTCACCCTGTGTATACAAGAAAATATACGGTGAATAGATTTCTGTAATATTTACTGGTTCTTGTGTAATGTGTGTGTAATAATCTTGAAGGCCATTCCAGTAACCAAAATGGGTGTCAAATCCACGGAACGTTGGAGTGTACTCCCTTCTAAAATATCCTAGGTGCCATTTTCCCACTGCGTGTGTTCTGTACCCTACCTCTCTTAAATACTGCAATTTGAAGAGGTCATATTTACTATTTGTTTGTGAAAATTACTGAAAATGGAATGAAAATGTGGAAGTTGTTATTCACAAAAATTTCCAAATATGCAATATATTGAGATTGACAAAAAGTGAAATCTTTCCTAAGAATTCTTACATGCAGAAATTTTCACGTTCTCAAATTTTCAAAATCAAAAAGTTATACCAATTCTTTCAGAAAATTAAGCTTGCAAATCTGTGAATTACCAACATAGCGGCAATATAGCGAGAGTCTATTCTGTAGAGACCCTTCTAGACAACGAGTAGACATTGCGAAGAATGTAAATATAGTTTAAAACACGATGAATGTTAATGAATAAAAAATTGAAGGGGTTTGAAGATTGATGAACCGACCTCAGGAAGTAGTTTCTCGCTCAGCGGAAGTCCTCTGGGCTCACTAGGAAGAAGAACGCTGTGTTGCATGCCAAGATGAATCGGATTTTTTCCGGTCATTAGAGCAGTTCTACTTGGCGTGCATAATGCAGCAACGTAATGGCTGTTCAAGATGATTCCATTGTACGCAATGGCGTCGATGTTGGGCGTCGGAATTTGGTCGGATCCGTGGAAACTCACGTCGTTCCATCCCTATGTAATTTTCAAAAATATTTCATAGTTAATCTTTGAAAATCTATTTGCGAAATCAATCAGCACATGGAGCTCCACCATAACCACCCTTAAATTTTTAGTCTTTAAGATGACATCCAAAGGTCCATACATGTGGACCTTAGAGGACATTAGAGAAGTAATTGTGTACAGGTATAAGAATAATGAATAACAACGAATTTTTTTAAACAAATCTATCTCACCAAATCGTCGGCAAGTATGATGATGATATGTGGCTTCTGTCTGCATCCATCCACATGTTTAGGATCCTTGCCGGGTTTCCCCAGCGATGGAAAGTTGATTTTCACTTTCGGCGACAGCAATGACGAGAAGAAAATAGCACCGACGTTCACCGTAAGCTCCGCGAGAAACAGCACGGTAAAAAAGGTCGTTATCCACGCGACATTCATTCCGAATCCAACTGAAATAAAAATAATTAACGCGTTGATGCACTTGCAAGTCGATGTCCGATTATTTACTGATCCGAACATCTGGCATAACATTCCATAGTCGTAGATGACGTATAAATGCTTTCGAATGCAAAAATATTTGTGAATCGATAAAAAAAGCTTCTTACGGAAGACCGGAAGAATGTACGCGAGTATTATTCGCGATAGGTTCTCCATTTTTTGCGTTTGCGTCGGACGAGCATGGCTTTCGTTCGGGCGAAACAGATTTGTGGATCGTCGAGACTGGTCGGCGTCTCGAGAACTGACTGAAAACGCGGGACTACTTGGTTTATTACCACTTTGTATTTTCTGCACGAAGAGGAGTAAAGGGAGGATCTGGAGCATAACGATGGTCTTCGGGGGGAAGAAATAGAAAGAGTGTACGGCGAGAGTTTCGGGGGATAACGTCTGGTTACGTCGCGGGAGCATTATAATTAGGGATATCGTAAAGTATGTTCTTCAGGAAGTTAACGTCGTTGTAAATTCGGCTGCGTGTTCCTTTAAATTGTGGAGTGAGAACCGATAATTTATAGTATGAACATGGGTGATGGTACATAACTATATGCTATATATGGTGATGTACTATTAAATAAAATGAAGTAGTACAATGGTAGTATAGTACCATGCTACTATTCAATATAATGATGAGATAGTAAGGTGGTAGTATAGTAACATATGCTACTATTAAATATACTATATGATACTACTATATTACACTATATATGCTACTATATATGCTACTGTACTACTAGCATAATATGTAGTATAATATAATAGTGACGTATAATATGTTTAATAGTAGCATTGACTACTATAGAATACATAGTATAATATAGTAGTAAATTACACATATTATGTATAGTTGTATATAGCAGTATAATGCACTACTAGTACATATACTACTATATTACACTATTAATATTCTGCTACTATATTCTGTTACTATACAACTATATAATACTAGTAGTATAATAGTATTTATAGCAATATGTATATCAGACTACTATACTATTAATATTGCACAACTACATTGCACTATTATGCTACTATATTATACTAGTGGTATAATAGTACATATAGCAGCATTCCATTCTACATTGTTCTACTATATTATTAATGTTACACTACTATATTGTGCTATTATACTACTATATTATACTAGTAGTATAATAGTACATATAGTAATAAGTATATCATACTACTATACTACTAATATTGCACTATTATGCTACTATATTATACTAGTGGTATACTAGTACATATAGTAGCATTCCATTCTACATTGTTCTACTATATTATTAATGTTACACTACTAAATTGTGCTATTATACTACTATATTATACTAGTAGTATAATAGTACATATAGTAATAAGTATATCATACTACTATACTACTAATATTGCACTATTATGCTACTATATTATACTAGTGGTACAATAGTACATATAGTAGCATACCATTCTACATTGTACTACTATATTGTGCTATTATACTACTATATTATACTAGTAGTCTAATAGTATATATAGTAGCATACCATTCTACATTGTACTACTATATTACTGATGTTGCACTGCTACATTGTGTTACTATACTACTATATTATATTAGTAGTATAATAGTATACATTATAGTAGCATATTATACTACATTGCACTACTATATTACTAATGTTGCACTACTATATTCTACTACTATACTACTATATTACACTAGTAGTATAATAGTACATACTAGTACATCATACTACCATACCACCAATAAAACACTGCTATAAAATGAACAAAAAATAGTAAAATAGTATACAGAACAGCAAAATCATCCATAGTGAAATTAAACAGTGCAATAAAAATTACACTACTATGTACCATTAGATGAACTATCAATACAGTAGTATGCTAATACATGCTACTATATAACAATACCAACTGTACTCACTTATTTATGTAACTTTCAGATCATTTCAAACTTCAACGCCAACTTAGTTGCAATTAACCCTACCGCGATATGCATGTTGATCATTCGACGTTTGAGCACAAAATAAACATTAAAAAAATAAAAACCAGCGAAATACTTATAGTTACATAATGAACGAACGTTCAAGTTTCTCCGCCAACGATCAAAAGCATATTCGCGGGGTATTTAGATCGTGCGAAGCAGCTATCGAGCATGCAACTTTTCTTTTTTTTTCTGAAAGAAAGAAAAAACATTCTGCGTTTATAGGCTTGCATGCACGTTTAATGCACCTTGGTTTCTTCCAGTTTATCGCTCTATTTGCAACCGTCTCTCTACTTTGTACCAGATTTTATTAATTATATGCAACTTGAAACGTGCGTTTTATTGTTTCGAGCTTCGAAGTATGGCTGGTCGGGAATGTAAGGTTAGGTTAGGTTCAGGATATTTGTGGTCACGTGAGAAACTTCCAGGTTAGGTTAGATTTAGGATATTTGTGGTCACGTGAGTACTCTTGAGGTTAGGTTAGGTTAGGTTCAGGATATTTGTGGTCACGTGAGAAACTTTGAGGTTAGGTTGAGTTAGGTTCAGGATATTTGTGGTCACGTGAGAAACTTTGAGGTTAGGTTAGGTTAGGTTTAGGATATTTGTGGTCACGTGAGCACTCTTGAGGTTAGGTTAGGCTCAAGAATATTTGGCGATAAAAAGACATTGAAATAGGAAATAATTTCTTGGTCAAATGATTAGGTTTCAGATTAGGTTAGGTTCAATAATATTGTTAAATAAATAGACATTGATATGCAAAATAATCTTTTAGTCAGATAATCAACCTTCAGATTAGGTTAGGTTTAATAATATTTTTAAATAAATAGAAGTAGAAAATAATCTTTCAGTCAAATGATCAACCTTCAGATTAGGTTAGGTTCAAAAATATTTTTAAATAAATAGACATTGAAGCACAAAATAATCTCCTAATCAAATGATCAGCATTTAGATTAGGCTAGGTTTAAGATTATCCATGAAAGGACCCTAAAGCATAAAATGGCCTCTCAGTCAAATAACGAGCCTTCAAATTAGGTTACGTTGAAGGATATTCAAAATTAATGAACATTAAAGAAAATGATCCTTCAAGTCAGATAATCAGCTTTAAAATTAAGTTAAGTACAAAAACATTCATAGTAAATAAGTACTAAAGTACAAAACGAACTCGGTTATTTTGATTTTGATCAAGATCAAGTGTTCCCATAAAATGTTAGGTTATGTTCCGTTTATTTCGCAATTTCCCAACTCTGTTTTCAATCGAAAACTTAATTATACATCTCAGCCGGTGATTTTACCGTAGACCGACGAGGAAGTACCGCTACTTCCATGTTTTCTTCACATCTCAACGATTTCACGATCTCCCTGAATCCGCGGCATGTGTTTATTTACACAAATGGCGAGCAAGTTATCACGTGATAATAAACTGATCGGAGGTTAAGAAACTTTTGTATCTGTGTTCCGGTGTGTAGAAAACGGACATTACTCGAGCGTTTTTTGAACTCGAGGATCTTGATAACGATCCTTCGGGCGATTTACACAGCACATTAAACGCGAACAAACGTAGGAAAAAAATCGCCCCGAATCGCGTTCGGGGATCGCGCGTCACGCGTGCTGCTGCTGGATAAAATCGCGATTAACGCACGTGAATCATTATAGATAGCAATGCAGTTAATGGCTTTCTTCGTTTGATCATTAACTAGCAGATCGTCCTTTGAGTCGCGTGAACATTTCCCCGTTGCTAACGGGCTCCGCATCAACGCGTCGTTAATTCTTATTAATAAGTTCGCAACCTGCAGATTTTTCAACGTTGAAATTAGTTAAATCATTCAACAATTTTTTGAATCGTTGATTATGTTATTTTTATTTAGAGATTAATGGATGTTGAAAGTAGTATTTTTTCCTTAATTAATGTTTGTGGAATTAGGGAGTTGGGGGTTAGGGTGTTGGGGATTTAGGGAGTTGGGATTTAGAGAGCTGGGGACATAGAGAGTTGGGGATTTAGGGAGTTGAGGATTTCGGGATTTGTGGAATTAGGGAGTTGGGGATTTAAGAAGTTGGTGAATTAGAGAGTTGGGGAATTAGGGAGTTGGGGGTTAGGGAGTTGAGAATTTAAGGCGTTGGTGAATTAGAGAGTTGGGGACTTACGAAGTTGGGGATTTAGGGAGTTGAGGATTTAGGGATTTGTGGAATTAGGGAGTCGGGGATTTAGGAAGTTGGGGATTTAAGGATTTGGTGAATTAGAGAGTTGGGGAATTAGGGAGTTGGGGGTTAGGGAGTTGAGAATTTAAGGAGTTGGTGAATTAGAGAGTTGGGGAATTAGGGAGTTGGGGGTTAGGGAGTTGAGAATTTAAGGAGTTGGTGAATTAGAGAGTTGGGGAATTAGGGAGTTGGGGGTTAGGGAGTTGAGAATTTAAGGAGTTGGTGAATTAGAGAGTTGGGGAATTAGGGAGTTGGGGGTTAGGGAGTTGAGAATTTAAGGAGTTGGTGAATTAGAGAGTTGGGGAATTAGGGAGTTGGGGGTTAGGGAGTTGAGAATTTAAGGAGTTGGTGAATTAGAGAGTTGGGGAATTAGGGAGTTGGGGGTTAGGGAGTTGAGAATTTAAGGAGTTGGTGAATTAGAGAGTTGGGGAATTAGGGAGTTGGGGGTTAGGGAGTTGAGAATTTAAGGAGTTGGTGAATTAGAGAGTTGGGGAATTAGGGAGTTGGGGGTTAGGGAGTTGAGAATTTAAGGAGTTGGTGAATTAGAGAGTTGGGGAATTAGGGAGTTGGGGGTTAGGGAGTTGAGAATTTAAGGAGTTGGTGAATTAGAGAGTTGGGGAATTAGGGAGTTGGGGGTTAGGGAGTTGAGAATTTAAGGAGTTGGTGAATTAGAGAGTTGGGGAATTAGGGAGTTGGGGGTTAGGGAGTTGAGAATTTAAGGAGTTGGTGAATTAGAGAGTTGGGGAATTAGGGAGTTGGGGGTTAGGGAGTTGAGAATTTAAGGAGTTGGTGAATTAGAGAGTTGGGGAATTAGGGATTTGTGGAATTAGGGAGTTGAAGAATTGTAAAGTTGAGGATTTAGGGAATTGGGGAATTAGAGAGTTGGAGATTTAGCGAGTTGGGGAATTAGGGAGTTGGGAGATTTAGAGAGTTGGGCGACTAGGGATTTGTGGAATTAGGGAGTTGAGAATTTAAGGAGTTGGTGAATCAGAGAGTTGGGCAATTAGGGAATTGGAAGTTAGGGAGTTGAAGAATTAGAGAATTGAGGAATTACGGAATTGGGGATTTAGAGAGTTAGGGATTTGGGGATTTGGAAATTTAGAGAGTTCGGGAATTAGAGAGTTGGGGATTTAGGGATTTGCTAATTTAAGGGCATGGGGATTTAGAAATTTAGGAATATAGGGATTTGCTAATTTAGAAATATGGGGATTTAGGAATTTCCTAATTGAGGTATATGGGAATTTAGAAATTTAGGAATATTTATGATGATATGAAATATAGAATTTTTTAAGAATATACGAACTTAGTCAGGTTAGGTTAGGTTAGGTTTGATAATTCAGTGATACAGACATTTAGGGACTTGCTAAACAACGATAAAATTAATTGACTTTCATATTTCGCACCTGTTAATCTTCTTATCGATAGCAATTTAGATAATCTGAATATCGTAGCAATGCAAATGTATCCATTTTCACATAGTGTAGTGAGTGCACTTAGACTACAGTTTTATCAGGTAAACACTGATATTAGAAATCAGGTAGGTAATCGTACAGCATGATTAGCACAATTCACGTTAGGTGTAACGGTGAGATTTTACATTTCTATTTGAATGGATGGCACACGGCGTCACGATATTTACATCCTCATGCTGACAAATAACTATGATCACCGATTAACGAGTAGAATGCCAGAATATCAAGTCGGTGAAACTTTTCAGTAATTGATTATTGTTAACCTAACAACAAATTCGTTATCCTTGACGTCAATTAAGTTGCAAATAAACAACCTTAATCATTGATAAACGAGAAAGTTATTAAGACTTTTAATGAGAGAAACTGTTTTTCTGCTTATCAATTGCTGAATGAAATTCGTTATTTTTAACATTGTTTATAAATAAATAATTATAGTCATTAATTATCGAGAATGTTATTAGAAATTTTTATGAGAGAAACTTCTTTTCTATTGGTCAATTGCTGAATGGTTTGAGAAATTTGTTATTTTTAATATTGATCAAGTTATATGTACAAATAATTGTAATCAGATATGATTAAGATTGTTATTAGAAATTTTTATTGGGAGAAACTGCTTTTGTATTGATCAATTGAATGACTTAAGAAGAAACTCGTTTTTGTTAACATCGATCCAGTTATAAATAAATAATTGTAATAATTAATAATTAAGAATATTATTAGAACTTTTGGTGAGAGAAACTGCTCTTCTATTAGTTTATTGCTGAATGTCTTAAGAAGAAATTCGTTATTTTTAACCTAACAAATCCTTAAATTCCTAACCTCCTAAATCTACAAATTATCAAGTTTCTAAATTCCTAACGTGCCAGATATCTAAACTTCCAAATCCCTAGATTCCTAACTCCCTGACCCCCAAATCCCTAAATCCCTAAATCACCATACCCCTTGATTCCCAAATCCCCAAGTTTCCAAATCCATAATTTCTCAACTCTCTAAATCCCCAACTCCCTAATTCCCAACCCCCTAAATCCAGAACTCTCTAAATTCCCAAATCTCTAAATTTCCAAATCCCCAACTCCCTAAATCCCCGACTACCTAATTCCCCAACTCTCTAAATCCAGAACTCCCTAAATTCCCAAATCTCTAAATTTCCAAATCCCCAAATTCCTAAACCCCTAAATCCCCAACTCCCTAAATCCCAGACTCCCTAATTCTCCAACTCCCTAAATCCCCGACTCCCTAATTCTCCAACTCTCTAATTCCCCAACTCCCAAATTCCCGAATTCCCTAAATCCAGAACTCTCTAAATTCCCAAATCTCTAAATTTCGAAATCACCGAATTCCTAACCCCCTAAATCCCCAGCTCCCTAAATCCCAGATTCCCTAATTCTCTAACTCCCTAAATCCCCGACTCCGTAATTCCCCAACTCCCTAATTCCCCAACTGCCTAAATCCCCAAACATCTCAAATCTCTAAATCCCTAAATTCCCAAAACCTAAAGTACCATTCACATCGACACCTATATATCCACAATTCCCAAATATCCCTAGAAACCCCCTACGCCCACCTAACAAATCTACCACAAAATCACAAAACCCCCCAAAAATCCGTACCGCATAAAATATATAACATAAATGTTATATAATAAATGTAAATTGAAACATCAACAAAAATGAACATAAAAATTTCACCGCCATTAAAATTTCTATCCTAAAATTTTGGGTGTTCGATCTTACCTTAGGACACAATGTAATGCACTTTCTTGCCCACCAGCCTGAAAGAGACTGAATTTGTTTAATCCACTGTTAAGCAATGCACAACCTCGAGAATAGTTTTTGCATTTCAGCCATGATCGATCAGGAGTGGAAAGAAAATGATCGAACCCAAGGTGGAATAACTAAGTAACCAGAGAAAACTAACAATAAATAGCTGAGTTCTTGAGAAATCTTCGTTCCTTCTTTTTTTATTTCCGTCTGGTCGAATATGCTAATTTCTCGGGGAAAATAAGAAATGACGTGCTGTTTTTCTTCAAGCTGTTTTTATTGCGTTTCTTCTTCTCTCTTTTAGGCTGGTAATTGTCTTCGCAGTTGGTGTCTTGTGCTAACGAGACTGTACTTGAATATATCTATGCTAATTATTGTTTTATCAACAAATTGTTTTACTATCTTGTTTCATTGTTTGATAAGTTTGTTAACATTGTGATATTTTTAGTATTTTATTATTTGCATACTTTGTTAGGCTACTGTTTTGTTACTCTTTTTATTATTTCACTGTTTTATTTCTTTTTCGTTCTTATATTTCACTACTTCACATTTTCTATCATTTCAATATTTCACCATGTTGTCTTACTGTAATAACAGATTTTTTATTTCTTAATTTTCTTAGTTTACTGTGGTATAAAATGTTTGGGGATGTAGGAATTTCGGGACGTTGGAATTTCGGGACGTAGAAATTTCAGGACGTTGGAATTTCGGGACGTAGGAATTTGAGGACGTTGCAATTTCGGGGCATAGGAATTTCGGGACGTAGAAATTTCAGGACGTTGGAATTTCGGGACGTGGGAATTCCGGGACGTGGTAATTTCGGGACGTAGGAATTTGAGGACGTTGCAATTTCGGGGCATAGGAATTTCGGGACGTGGGAATTTCGGGACGTGGGAATTTCAGGACGTTGGAATTTCGGGACGTAGTAATTTCAGGACGTTGGAATTTCGGGACGTAGGAAGTGCGGGACGTGGGAATTTCAGGACGTAGGAACTTCGGAACGTAGGAAAGTAGTGTCTTACCATTTCAGCGTTGCAACGTCACCATTTAATCTCGCAATTCAGCCAACATGGCCGACTTGAATCAAAAATAGAACCACGCGGAAGAGAATGACGGTATTCATTATCGATCACTATGCATAATAAGAATTATGCAAAATGCATTATCATAAACTAGAAGCGAAGGTCGTAATCTTGGTATATGACAATTTAAAGAACGATCTCTCTCAAAAGGATGCATACGCACGAATCGATAAGTACAACGATTACGCAATATTTTTAATAGTCCTTCCATGTGCAACACTGTAACAAGCATATTTGGCGATAGTTTAAATTTCGTAATACCTTTCACTTCCCGGATTCCATAGACGAGAAAAGTGCAAAATGCGAATTGAATTGCAGCTGACAACAAGTTACGAAACCTCGATCCAGCCTCGAACAAAGCCCATAAACCCGCACGAAATGGAGCATTTCAATGTTACCCGCCCGATATCTGTACCTTGACCACGTTGTTATTCACGCCACGATTATTTTAACAACACCGTTAGTGATCGACTATTAAGTGCGATTCCCGTTAGGGTATCTGCTCACTGGTTGGATCTTTTAAAACTCTACTTTGTGATTGAATCATAACTTCTTCTTTGCGACTGCAATCCAACACTTTCTGATGATTTTTTTTTCATCAACAATATTTATCTGATAATCAATTGTTTATACGTTTGTGGATAGGTATTTTGCAGGACTTCTAAGTCCCTAGATACGCTAGTCGCTGGATCTATAAATAGAAGAAGGTCTAAGTAAATATTGTCCCGAAATTCCCACGTCTCGAACTTCCTACTTTCCGAAATTCCCACGTCCTGAACTTCCTACGTCCCGAAATTCCTACGTTCGGAAATTCCCACGTCCCGAAATTCCCACGTCCCGAAACTCCCACGTCCCGAAATTCCCACGTCCCGAAATTCCTACGTTCCGATATGTTTACACCTCGAAATCTCTACACCCTGCAATCCTTAAATCTTGAAACCCCAATATGCCCCGCTCACAGTTACAAAAGCGTCCCTATCACATACTACATCACTCTACTTCGCATAATTTGCACCAAAACGAATTGCGTAATTCTTACATCAATTTTCAACATAACATCGCTTCATTTAAGTATTGAACAACTGTCAGTTCCATGCAAGTGACTATCGAAATATTGTAAAACATCGTCAGATCCAAACGTGTAAAGCTTGAGAGTCCACTCTGTTTTCATCCCCCTCAGATAAGTGTTTCGCTGTCAATAAATCCTGTCATATATTGTTGACGGAATTAATTGATTCATGAAGTACTTAAAAGACATTAGTCTTGCGTGTTGTTTTATATGGCATATAAGGAGATTTCGAGTGTAACAGATTCGTCTGGATACACGCCAACGACCACCGCACGTAAAAAGTGTTGGTGCATTAGTCGCGATCTCTAAACCTACTCGGTTTCTTTTATTCTCTGTCGAACTCGAGAGAGTTATTAATTGTTCGCTGACGCCTGGAATTAGTTATTGCAATCGTTTCTTTTTACCGTTAAAATTACACAACGATGTTACCTAATACCGTGTGTTTGAAAATTGCATTTCGAACGGGAAAAAGTGTGACGGCCGGTTACGGTTGTTACGAATTTCATTGAAAATCCGGCTTAAGTAACCAATTAATTATCATTTATGCCACGTAGTGGTTATTTATGCAGCGATTTTATTTCGTTTAATGTTTCGTGCGGCGTTTTGAAAGTCTGTCATGATTATAGTTATTTGGGTGCCGATAGCGTAATCGCTTCATCGGTTTATAAAAAATGCAGTGTGATTAACATGTTGCTTAAATTTTGTTATGCAACAAACTTGTTGCGTTAAATTATACACGTGACGGTTGTTTATTTGTATGAACACTTCTTTCGTTCGTGTGTGAATCTCGTTCAAATTTCGCGCCAAGTTTGCGCGCCAAAAAAATGGATGGCAATATTTTATAATGTTTATATCATTCTGAAGTTAAATATTGTTACTCTGCGATGTAATTTGATGTGTAGTATAGTTAATTAATGCAATAAAGTCAAAATTAATTGGGTTTTCGAAAATTGAACTAGTGGCGCCATCTCTCCGGCGAACGGGGTGAACTACACGTATCTGGAGGAGGTCCTTCGTTAGTTCCATTTTCCGCCACCAGTCGGCGCTAGTATCGCTGCCCTCTGGTGGCGAAAAGTGGAACTAACGAAGGACCTCCTCCAGATGCGTGTAGTTCACCCTGTTTGTTGAAGAGATGGCGCCACCAGTACTTTTCGATTTGCGCGCGAAAATTTAAAAGTCCAAATTATCTACAGATACTAAAAAAGTTCAATTTTCAAAAATTGAACATCTGGGGCTATCTCTCTTGCAAACAGGGTGAACTACACGCTTTTGAAACTCTACTTTAATTAGAATGCCATTTAGAAGTGGTTAAAAATTGATATTTTGGTAAACTTACAATATTTAAGCTTAATCAAAGAGTATTTAATGTTCAAAGGATCAGAAAGGTTTAAATATGTACACCTTGTATATGTTACAAGAACAATATCTTTATTAACTGAGTTTGATCTATTGTTTTAACAATATTATGTTATTCACAGTGTGTTATCTAATACAGTAGCTTGTGTATCACTTTTCTTTAGCTTTCATTTAATTGACATTCATTATAAAAATAAAAAAGCGTATTGAAAAGAAAAACACATGTAATACTTCTTCCTTGTGGTCTTATTTCTTGCTCCTGCAACAATTCATTAAATATCATGTTAATATTCAAGGAGTTTAAAACCTTGGATCTGTTTACTGGGTCATTAGTATACTTTCCAAGCCACTACTCTTTTTTGATAATATTTTCTGAATATAAAATGTAAATAATATTGAACTTACAGTTCTGGAATTGAAGGAGCTCCTATGGCAGAACTGTGCGGTATGATTGTAATTTCTGGAATCTGAAAAGGAAATATTTATTAATGATTGTGATAATATATCAAGGCTTACTAAAGATTCAAGCAAATATGCAAAGAGACAATTTAGAACAAAATGTAGAAATAAATTGTTATACTCACTTCAACACGCTCTGGTGTTTCTAAAGCATAGACAACAGCTGCTGCAATGTCCTCCGCTTCCAAAATTGGGATTTTTATATTCGGTGGCAGTACACCAGTTATCATGTCAGTTTTCACAGCTCCAGGACTGATGCTCTACAGAAATTTATATTGAAGTATTTACTACACCTTATTTAAACTATTAGAAACCTTAAAAAATAGTCAACTTCTCACAAAAAGGAAAGTAGAGAATCAGAATAAAAAGTAAAGTGCCAGAACTTACAGTGACTTTGATCTTCAATTCGCCAGCAATTAGTTCATGTCTCAATTCTGAGCCCAAAGCGGTCAACCCATATTTGCTGGGACAGTACATACCAAGAGGTAGATGTATACTTTCAGCAAAGTGGCCAGCGATGCTGTAAAAATTAACCAATAATGCATCAACTACAGGGTGATACAAAGGGACAGGACCCTTTTCCTGTCATTTTTCAAACTGATAGATTATTTACCTGTTGATGTTGATTATGTGTCCAGGACTGCCTCGCTTTTTGAGAGACTTAACAGCTTCTCGTGCACAGACTGCTGGAGCAATGAGATTGGTGTCGATCACTTTGTAGTACTCCTCGGTCGGTGATTCTGTAACAGTATTTACGACCACGCTATATCTCTGTGACTACTATACATGCTCTCTAAATAATAATACAATTATATTATGAACAAAAGTTGAACATTTTCAGTTCTCAATTTTTTTTCAAATTTTTCTTTTAAATTTTACTATTCTTCGATTGTGATCATTGATGATTAAGGACTTTACGAATTCTTAAATAAACTGAAAATTAATTTTGTTGGTTTCTAGAATCATTCATACGAGTTTTGCAGAACAAAATACGAATCTCCAATTAATTTCAATTACTGCTTTTTCACGGATGGCCACTAATCATATTATGCAACATTTAATAACCGAATGCGCTTTCCGGTTTGCTGCAATTAACATATATGATACATCACGCGAATCATGCTAAAATGCCCACTGGATGAAGTTATCTAGGCTGCATGAAAAAGATTGGAATATTTTATGTCCAAGTAGAAAATTGTCCGTAAACGTATTTTAAATTGGAGTTCCTCAATTATCGAAGCAATTTTTACTGTTGTTCCAATTGTAGTCTAAAGTAGACTTTGTATATCCGGTGAAGTACCGCTCAAGGTCGATTCGTGTGATAGTAAATAAAATGGCGGAATCACTCTTGTAAATCATAGTACATTCATACTAATTCTCGATTGTTATCACATGATGAGTAGAATTAATATAAATTCTTTATTAAATGTATAGTTACGAATTCGATAGCTCGAGAACTTCTGCGTTTATCGATAACTGTATACTGTGTACATCATTGACATTGAAGATAATTACTTTAGATGACACAGCATATTTCAGAGCAAAAATGCAAACAAGGTTTAAATTGACATAGTGACAGTGCATGAATTCTCATATCAATAAAAAGATACAGAGTCTTATTTAATCTACAGTTCTCGAGACATAATATCTTATTAAGTTTTTGCTGATTCTGTAAGTGTATGACTTTTCAAAATAGAGTGAGAACTCGTTTACGTGATTACCATGATATTTCAGAAGATATTATTGCCTTGTTATCCTTGATACTTCGACTTTTAATGACTATTTAATTGCTGTTCGGAGAGTAGAAATAGACGAGGTATAAAAAGTCATTGAAATATCCGCCCACTAGTGAGGTGATGTTTAAAGGAATTATGGCTGCATTTTTCAAGAGAGACATTCGTACATTCGTGGATCTCTACATTCACAAATATTTGCAAAGTTCTATATTCCCACATTCCGTAATTCCAAATCTCCCAATTCCCACGTTTCCTAATTCCCACATTTTCTAATTCCAACATTTCCTAATTCCACATTCCCCAATTCCCACATTTCCCAATTCCCACATTCCCCAATTCCCAAATCCCCCAATTCCCAAATCCCCCAATTCCCACATTCCCCAATTCCCACATTCTCAATTCCCACATTCCCCAATTCCCACATTCTCAATTCCCACATTCCCCAATTCCCACATTCTCAATTCCCACATTCCCCAATTCCCACATTCTCAATTCCCACATTCCCCAATTCCCACATTCTCAATTCCCACATTCCCCAATTCCCAATTCCCCAATTCCCACATTCCCCAATTCCCACATTCCCCAATTCCCCTCTCCTCCAATTCCCAAATCCCCCAATTCCCACATTCCCCAATTCCTAAATCCCCAATTCCCAACTCTCCCAATTCCCACATTCCCCAATTTCAAATCCCCCAATTCCCAACTCTCCCAATTCCCACATTCCCCAATTCCAAATCCCCCAATTCCCAACTCTCCCAATTCCCACATTCCCCAATATTCCACATTCCCCAATTCCCAAATCCCCCAATTCCCACATTCCCCAATTTCAAAATCCCTTAATTCCCAAATCCCCCAATTCCCAAATCCCCAATTCCCAACTCTCCCAATTCCCAAATCCCCCAATTCCCAAATCCCTTAATTCCCAAATCCCCCAATTCCCAAATCCCCCAATTCCAAAATTCCCCAATTCCAATCCCCCAATTCCCACATTCCCCAATTCCCAAATCCCCCAATTCCCAAACCCCCCAATTCCCAACTCCCCCACTTCCCAAATCCCCCAATTCCTAAACTCACATCTCCAAATCCATGCCTCACCAAATTTCAATATCCTCCCCATACCTCCAAGTCCCGTAAATCCCTGAATCTCTATATCTACATACCGATGCCAACCCACGAGTTGGCGCGTCGCTGACTTGTTTAGAAGAGCTACAATTGGTCAGAATAGAAAAATGGACGCCTCACACGTATTTTCGGCGGTAGGCTCTCGGCGGTCACATACCAATTAGGCGAAAGACGTCTCTCAAGCGAGCCATTGCCTTCAGCAGTTATTCTTATTTTCCTGTATCGAACGCTGGAAGTCAATGACAGAGCTTCTTTCACTTTGGCGCGCCAACTCATGACTTTATATCCGTACGTTCAACAGTTACAAGGCATAGTGATGAGAGGAAAGATAAACAGACATCGCGTAACCTATGTTGCTATGCAAGATTTATCGCTAATTTTAGAAAATTGCTTTAGTGGTACATTCTTGTATTTCTAACTGAATAATACAGCCGTTCTTTTAACATAAATATAAGTGTAGATATTTTGGTACACTGAAAATTATTTTATAATTTGAATGTAATATGAACTGTCTGAATTACCAAAGAAAACTTGTGACAAAGTTTGAAATTTCAGTTTTGAAACCAACAGGAAGAATTTCATGTATATTAATGTCTTTTATTGGACCGTTAGGGGACTCTTTTTCGCGCCATTTTTCAAATAGATTCACAGAATAACTACGCTAGTAATGTGAAACTTGAACAGAGTAAAAACAAGGAATATAGGTAAAATAATTATATTCAAGATCAGGGACTTGATATACCCTTATAAATGAAATGAAAGTATCACGTAGAAAGTGTACTGACATATAAATCTACTTTCTGTAGTATTTTTATTTACAGAATCAAGTACAGCAGTCTATCCATGCTTTCCCTAAACTTTCTCAAAGTTTCTTTCAAAATAAAAATACTATGATTACATTTTATGAAGAAGGAAATATTCTAACCTAACTTAAACCCTTTACTAAAAATGCAAAAATGCCTATAGAGTCAAGCTACAACTCTATAATATCTTACTGTATACTAAAATATCTCTCTACCTCCCCTCAAATATTCTGTCAAACTTAAAACACCCAATTCTTAAAAAATTGATGAAAAATGAAAATATCTCCTCAGTGTCTCATTTTGATATTCCTCCAAACATACTTTGCCAGTTACAAATTTATCCTACAAACAAAAAATAATGATTTTACCGAGGATTTGACTGTGAACAGCCACTCCAGCATTGTTCACGAGAATATCGACACCGCCAAGCTCCTTCTCTGTCCATTGGAACGCTTTCAAGATGTCCTCTTCCTTCCTCACGTCGCATTGAATAGAATGAAATTTATCCTTCCCCAATTTCTTGCCCAGTTCCTGAAGTTTTTCCACTCTCCTCGCGAGACCAACGACTTTTACACCTTTTTTCACGAGCGCGGCAGCCGTTGCTTCTCCGATGCCCGAGCTGGCACCAGTCACGATTGCTACTTTTCCGTTCCAGCGATCCATTCTTTACTGCGCCGTGGTCTACACTGTTGCACGATTGGATTGTCTCTGATTTTATATGGCATCTCCAATCGCCATCGCGCTACCTACTTGCCGTATCACTCTAGACTTCCAATTGATGAGTCAGATAAAGAAGTATCTTCGTTATGCAACTATATTTCTACATGATTGTGCATTTTTTTATTGGTAATTGTTGTGAAATTTATTATTAACTGTTGCGAAGAATTTAGGTGCGTTAACGGGTGTGTGATTTACAAGGTCATCGTTGATAACCTTCGTTCAAGGTCACGGAGTTAGAAGAAACTTGCAGTGGAAATTGTGTAATTAGCTACTTCAATTCTTTACAACCTTGATACACAATTGGCCATTTATGTAATTGTTGCTTTTTTCAGGAAAATTGTAATGTAGGATAAGAAAGAGCTTCTTAGTTTTCAAGTTCTTAATTTTATAAATTCTGTAACTCAATTCGGTGCTCACAGATTTGAGATATGGAAATTTAAGGAAGGGAAGAAATTCAGTTTGGGGATTTGGAAATACTCGTGTGACTGTATAAATAATTTTATTCTCTGTACAGAGTAAAAGAACATTGTAAAAAAAGAACAGTATACAAATTGAAATGCATTTTTCAGTCCCTACGAAGATTCTTCTGCTGTTACTTTTGGTTGCTGCAGCTAAACAAGAGAAGAAATAAAGAAACTTTAGATAGTCGATATTAATGTACAATACAGATACGTTTGATTAGAGATACTTTAGTTGGATTTAATTAAAAATTTAGTTTAGGTTTAATTATAAATTAATTGGGTTTTCGTTAAGCTTGTCAGTACTTAATCTAAGGCTGAGGACCGCCATTTTGTGGACCCCAGAGGCAACCATTTTATACTGTACCAAAATAGCTGCAAACAGGATAAATTCTTACTCTATATTTTCCCTCGAATTTTGATCTGTTACCTCATTTTTCTTTAATTTATATCTAATTGTAATTTGTAAATATTTTTCCTTCTATCAAATTTTTAGGTTAAGATGGTACCAACGCTCTTGAGATTAAATATCAGTATCAGATCGATAATAACGAAAATTCTGAATCATCGAATATCTCGTAAAAAGATTTCAGTGATTATTTTATCACTTACGTCGTTGAAGAGGAACCTATCGGTCTACCATATGGTATAACTTCGGCTATCTGAAAGAATTAATTTTTATTTTGTGGGGTCTTTGAATCTTGGAATCTCTATATCATGAAATTCCTACGTCCCGAAATTTCTACGACCCGAAATTCCATCGTTCTGCAATTCCCACGTCCCGAAATTCCCACGACCCGAAATTCCTACGCCCCGAAATTTCCACGATCCCAAATTCCTACGCCCCGAAATTCCAACGTCCTCAAATTCCCACGTCCCGAAATTCCTACGCCCCGAAATTCCCACGTCCCGAAATTCCCACGATCCGAAATTTCTACGCCCCGCAATTCCATCGTCCTGCAATTCGTACGTCCCGAAATTCCCACGATCCCAAATTCCTACGCCCCGAAATTCCAACGTCCTCAAATTCTCACGTCCCGAAAATCCCACGATCAGAAATTCCTACGCCCCGAAATTCGTACGTCCCGAAATTCCCACGATCCCAAATTCCTACGCCCCGAAATTCCAACGTCCTCAAATTCCCACGTCCCGAAATTCCTACGCCCCGAAATTCGTACGTCCCGAAATTCCCACGACCCGAAATTCCTACCCCCTGAAATCCTTCCTCCCGAAATTCGCACGCCCCAAAATCCCGATTGAGATTAAATATCAATATCAGATCGTTAATAACGAAAATTCTGAATCATCGAACGTCTCGTAAAAAGATTTCAGTGATTATTTCATCACTTACGTCGTTGTAAAGGGACCTCCTATCGGTATACCATGTGGTATAACAGTAACTTCGGCTATCTGAAAAATTGATTAGAAGAAAATATTTGAACACTGTATAATTTCCAATAGCACATTACAGCCTTATTAAAAATTTGTACATTGTATTATTGCCTTAGACTTACCTCAACATGCTCAGGTGTCCCTAACGCGTACATCACAGCCCCTGCGATGTCCCTAGGTTGCAGTATTGTTTTCCTCGATTCTTCCTCTATAAATTCTTCCGTCATTTCCGTGTTCACTAGTCCAGGGCTGATACTCTAAAAATCGGTTGAATTTTATTTTAGAGATTTGTATTTGTAACGAAACTTGAGAACCAAGACTCGAATTTCGAAAATCTTACTGTAACCTTGATCTTCAGGTTTTCTGCTATCATTTCGTGACGAAGTTCTGCACTCATAGCCGTCACACCGTATTTGCTGACGCCGTACATTCCAATCGGTGTGTGAAGGGCATGGGCAAAATGGCCGGCAATACTGTAAAGATTAAATAATTACAGTGATTAAGAACCTGCAGAAAAAATTGAAAAATTGGAAATTCAGACTGTAGTAAGAGTGGAAGTTGTTCACCTGTTAATGTTCACTATATGGCCGCCTACGTTTCGTTTCCTCATAGACTTAGAAGCTTCTCGTGCACAAATCGCTGGTGCTATAACGTTGGTGTCTATTATTCTGCTATACTCCTCGGTTGGCGTGTCTGAAGGAATACGTATCGTTAAATTTCTGGTGAAAGAAATTTACAAAGATTTTAGTAGTTTCAAAAAGTTATTGTAACTTCTAGTGATGCAATAGTACAGTTGTGAAATAACTTTCGAGCAATTATGCAAGTAAACAAGCTGAAGTTTAAGTGGGTGTGCAATTAAAAATATCTTAGTAATCGTTACTGTGCAAAATGCAAGGTTATCGTATTGATAGAAGCTGAAAGTAAAATAGAAAAATTTTTATAGTTCAGACGTAATCTTAAATAAATACACTCAGAATGTTATCTGTTATGATATTATCTGCCGATAAATGTGACATAAGTACTAGTCAGCAAGAATTGAAGTAAAAAAAGTGAATCTATTTATTTTAAACGAAAAACGTTTATAGAACAACTGGTATAAAAGGGCAAGATTTGTATATTTTTACGAATGTAGTTTATATGTTAATGTTCGAAACATGCAATATATGAAGAGGTAAGAATAAGAAGAGATTTAGCGATCGTAATTAATGTATTATTTAAAAAAGAAATAAATGAAGTTAATTTATATAACTATTAAGATATATATTTTTTATGCAAACTTTTGTTATCATAAATAATAATAATAATTTTATACTTTCCCACATTATTTATCAAAATTAATAAACAATTTTTAAGTACTAATATTAAGAAATATTTATATCTGTTCAAAATGACAGAATTGATTTGTTTTTATCATATCAAAAATTTATTATCTGAAGTAACGATTGTTATTTCACATCTGATTAAACGATTATTCTGCAACGATTGTTTATACTATCTAATCGTGTACCATCGTAAAATTCAACGAGACAATTCGATATTTACAAAATCGAATTTGTCATGAATTTGATGTATTTGTGCCAACAAGACGGAAGTGTATCATAAATAAGACAGTAGGGTATTAGCATAGTAACCTACTTTCCGCATTCTGGAGAATTTTATGTCCTTACTGATACTATCATTCTCTTGTTTTATAAACAAATCACTATAAGAGGGATTAAAGATTTAGGGAAGTTAAAGTGTTTTAATTTCTTTAATTCACATACATATTTTGCTAAGAGTAGGAAATAGGGAAAGAAACAGATTCACAAATCGGACATGCAGCCATCATGCTATTAGGGTAAGCTATCCTTCCATCTTTTCAATTTTCTATACTTGCAAGTTTGCTATACTTCTAAGTTCCCAAAATCCCAAATTCATCAATTTGGTATTGGCATACTCCTAAATCTCCATACTTCCAAATTCCAAATATTCTAATTTCCAGCTTCAAATTTTCCCTCCGTCTCTTCTCCACCCAACTTCTGCATACACTCTCCAAGTACTTTCAACCCATCTACAATCTACAAAGGACAGTAACCCTCCGAAGCCAGCAAAGTAATCAGCGACCATCAACCTCCTATATTGAAAACTACATTTTACCAATAAGAGAGCACACATGCAGAGCCCCAGCGTTGTTTACAAGAATGTCAACACCACCGAATTTCTTTTCGACACATTGGAACGCCTTTATGATCTGCTCCTCGTTCCTCACGTCACATTCGATGGGGAAGAAATCAGCAGTGTTCACTTTCTTGCTAAGATCCTGAAGTCTTTGCAATCTTCTGGCTAAACCGACAACCTTAACACCTTCGATTACCAACGCTTTGGTAATTTCCTCCCCGATACCGGAGCTAACTCCGGTAATCACGGCCACTTTCCCGGCCCAACGGGCCATCATTCACGGTTTTATATAGGTTACGTCTGTGTCAATGGCTAGCGTGCTGCCCTCTGCGATCTTCAGGTATTCACGAAACTGGGTGTACTGATGACAACCCAGAAGCTAGCGCCATGTCCTTTCATATGACCCTATCCACTTCGCGTATGCATGAAACTTTTCGATCGTTAGGTTCAGCTAACAAATGTAATTGTATACCATACTTGTCACATTTGTTAACTAAAAACTGCTTAAACTTTAAGTTACAATGCCATAAGCTATACTTTCTGCAATGGTAAGTTTCCTGGAGGGTGTGGCATTGAATTAAATTATTAATAAACTGAAACTGAACTGAAAATTTGGTATCCAGTGGTACGGTTTGAGAATTTATTTATCTGTCTGCTGGAGGTAGTATCGGTACGAGTGAATCTGTCGGAACTTTCCCTTATATCGTGTAGCTGACGTCTCTGGAAATACAGATCGCTTACCTAACACGCACACGTTGCTTACGAAAAATAAATATGAAACTAATCTGTAATTTCTGTATTTTAAAAATTCGCATTCACCATACAGCTCATAATGAATTTAAAGCAGATTCATGTTATAATATTAATATCGTACACCAAAACCCAAATCATTTCGCATAAATTGTTGTCCTTATTCACCGGGGATGACTCCCATATGCAGGGCTGCAATTGTCAATTCGTTCACCTGCAAATAAATCAAGTTACTATTTGCTGCTCTAACAAGCATTTGTTCATTGTATAAAATTGTACTTACTTCTACGTGCGGTGCGGTGGCAAGAACATATAGAATGCCATCGGCAATGTCTTTGGTGTGCACATGTGGCACGGCGTTCAAGAATTTTTCTCCGCCTACTTGCTCCAAGAGTGGCATGGAAGTTTTCACCACTCCAGGAGAGACACTCTGAAATAATAATTATTTACAACGTTTCTGAATTTCAGGTCCAAAATCTGAGAACTTACCGTCACTTTAATCGGGGCTTTCAATTGTAGCATTTCTCTTCTCAAAGCCTCCGACATGCCAGTAATCGCGTGCTTGCTTGTCTCGTAAAGACTGCTTGAAGCAGTTACAAACCTTACATTGTGTCCGAGGACGCTATCGAAAAATAAATTGCACATTAGTATTAAATAAAGATGAATATTTTGTAATCTGTAGACATGTTCATTTTATCAAATTTATTTCATGCTATTGTTGAAAGGAGGCACTAATTTAATGACCATAAAATATATACATTCTAACTCTTTTTAATAAATTTAACTAAAGAAATCCGAAGGCAGCCATTTTGAACTACGTGGTATTCAATGCAATAAGCATTGAATGAAATGAATTTTAAAAGAACAGATTTTATAGTTTAAATAAATATTAAATTGTCGTTAAACTTTCAAGTCACGAAATCTCCACAATGTTTATTAATGCAATATGGTAATGCATCATTAATTCAGCTATTATTTTCTAATGAAAAGCTTGCAACTCGACATTAACTACCGCGTAAGTGCTAAAAATAAACTTTGGATGCAATATGTTGCTTTTTAAGTAAATATTTTTACTTCTAAGCAAGCTTATATGAATGTACTCTCGCTATATTGTCGATTTTTCGAATTGATAACGCTCTTTGCCTACAAAAATTTGAAATTTTAAATATCTGAAATAAAAAATGCATACTGCGTTTTCGAATTACCTGTTTACGTTAATAATATGACCTCTAGCTTTGCGTCTTCTTAATGACTTCGTGGCTTCCCGAGTACAAATTGCCACGGCTAATACATTTACGTCCAATATTTCTCTCATGTGTGTCGTGGGACTCTCTAAATAAAATAAAATTTCTTTGCTTTCGTAATTTATCCATGACTCGACCCTTTTTAAATTTAAACTTGAGAAGGCGGCCATTTTGACCTTTATATTTAATAAGCATTAAAACTTGAAGCAAATTTTAAAAGAACAGATTTCAAATCTATTTGAACGTTCAAATCTGCTTTGACTAATTGATGAGAGAATATTATAGAATATAATTTACACTGACAAACATACGACAAATGATGTGCGTCTATAGCTGGACCTGTTGTTTACTGTTTTTCATTTTAAATTTGAATATACATCATGTTCAAAAACACTAGGTCACAAATGCAGTATTTTAAACTATATAGATTGAATAGAAGTTGAATATTCATGGTGATATTACTTATTCATAAATGTTAAATTATGCAATAAAAACAAGGTTATGCATTTTTACAATCTAAATAAATTAGAGGAATCGTGGTTTAAAATAAAATATCACTAACTCTGAAATGGACAAATATTTCAGTAGCATGCTTCTATATTTTATATAGCACTTTATTCTTATCAAAATAAAAATTATTCAACGTTGAATAAAGTATGACTGTCATATTCCATAAATAATTAATAATGTAATTTAATGATTATGACCTATGTAAGTAATTAAGGTTTTACCTGTGATATACTCAGTGTACCCCAAACCCGCGTTGTTCACCAAAATGTCTGCGCCCCCAAGTGACTCAACGACCTTAAACGCATCGAGTATGTCCTGCTCCTTGCGAAGATCGCATCGAATCGCATGAAATTTACCCTTGATATTTTTCATCTGGCTAAGCATTTTCTCCATGTTGTCCACCCTTCGGGCTAGGCCAACCACGTTCACGCCATTCTGGAGCAAAGCGATACAAACCGTCTCGCCGATTCCAGAACTGGCGCCGGTCACAACGGCTAGTTTTCCGAACCACTGATCCATCTCGATGCTCAGACTGTGCCTTGTGAAACACGTAAAACAATCCAGTCGTTTTCCCTCCTTATATATACGTGTAGTCTCCTCTTCCCGATTCTTCTTTTACTTTTACACTGCCCGGTTACGTAAAACGAATAAGCATTAGAAGCACAATTGTCAATAAAAATGCAGATGTGTATAAAATATTGGTTAGAATATATTATATGATACAGTCTAAAGTACATTTTTTAAGTAACGATGTTCATTAGAATTTGAAATTAATTTTTTTAAAAGAAACATAGTCTGCGATGAAAGGAAAATTTGATATAAAATATACATGGTTTTATTTTTGGTATATTTGCTGAAAGTTTATAATTTAATACTACATACAAATAATTATTGAACAGTATTGGTTCCTTATGTACATAACATCTTACAAATTTTTATAATAGAATTAATAGTATCGTTGCAGTTAACAAAATAACAGTCTTGATTTATATGTATATGTATAATCTATGAGATCAAAATTAAAACTATGTAACAAGGGTAAGTTCAACAGTGGGTGTTTGCGCCAGTAGTCATTTATCCTATTAATCCTTGACTATTCGCATATGGTTCTTCTGAGTTTGCTGCTGTTTCCTCTTGACAGGTAGAATCAGTTTCTGTATCTGAATCTTCAGAAAATAGAGACATTTCTTCCTCTGAGAAATCTTCAAAGCTTTCAAATTGAATAAATATATTTTATGTAATGAAATGTATACTGTATATAACAAATAAATAACATTTATTACATTTTGTGATTGTTAGATTCTTTTAATATCTGTTGTTTCTGAGTTACTGCAGGAATAGATACCCTCTACTCTGTTGTCCATAAGGAACATTGATCTTGTTTTGTTTACATACTTAATAACCTCACTTTTTGATCATTTGAGGGTTGTTAAATATATGCATAATAATCATGTAATTTTTGTCTCATGTCAGAAAGTATCACATCATTAGTTCTATTAACATAGAATGTTAAATGTCAGACAATTAATAAAATTACATACATACTGTATTAAACTTACTCGTCACGTGACGAGTTCTCATTCGTCTCATATGTCTACTCTGATTGGTTGAGCATGCTTCATAATCAAGAGCAACACGCAAGCGCACTTGTGACTTTCGTGGCACCAAACGTAAGTACTTCATCCTCAGCAATTTTTTTATTTTGGAAATGTACAGATTTTAGAATTTGATAGCTGTGAAATTTAGAAGTTTAGGAATTTGGAGACTTGTGAATCATAGTATTTGAAAAATTTAAGATGTAAGAATTTGGAAATTTGGGAATTTGATGCTTTCAGGAGTTTGACAATTTGCTACTTTACAGATTTGGAACTTAAGGAATTACAGAAGTTGTAAATTCGGAATAAAAATGTAAATCTTTAACTTGCTATAAACTTATCTATTACTTTACTACAAAATACATAACTTCTGTATCAAAATTAGTACATATCATAAAAATATTGTATCATATCACAGCAGTGCCTTTAATCACAGTTGTATAGAGCTTATTTTACATTACATAAGTTTATCGTGCATCAAGTACAATAACTAATTGCTGTTGTAAGGAAAAAAAACTATTCATATAGAATTTGTCTATTCTATTTGATTAAAATATAATTGATATACTTAATACGGTATCATACAAAAGTATATTTCTCTTAATCTAAACAGACTTTTACATTTCAAAAACACAACTAGAATTGTCTAAATCAAGAAAGGATACGTTTTCTGATACGTTTCTTGAACATAACTCTATAGCCACATTCTTTACATCTGATTGGTTCTTTAGGACATATTTCATTATTATGATAACACTATAAAATTAACAAATTCAATAGTATTAAAATAAAAGTATCATGTTGTACTCCTGTACATTATTGAAATGTAATTACTGGGACTAAATAGCGTGCAAAACATAAAATTAATCAGTACTATATTTTTTGTTGAATTATTGATTAGACTAATACTAGTTCTACATAAAGATTTTAATAAGAAGATATGGAAATTAATTGAAGACAATGTAAGATGTTTAACAAAACTTTTCTGTTATTAGGCATGTGAAAGACTAGGAGCAGTTTTTATATTTTGAACAGTACCTGCACAGATATAAATTGTAGATAACTTTGGAGTTAAACTTGACCTACTAGATTCCATCTCAAATATTTTTTTAATTACAATAACACAAGATTTTTTATGTTTACTATTTTACCGACAAACGAAACACGGACTGACCATCAGTGACCTAACCTGTTGACAATGCGCACACTTCTGTTGCTCTGTTACCCACTGAGGGTAGTATACTACTTTATCGACAGTTAGAAAAAACTATCTCTGTACAGTAGCAATTTCAAATTGTTAAAAAATATATATCAAGTACAGTTTAACTTTTAATCGAAGAAAATTCACAGAATTTTCAAATTCCAAAGTTTAAAAATTTCAAATTTTCAAATTCATAAATTCCCCGAATTCAAATTTTCATATTTTTAAATATTCAAATTCTTGAAGTTTCAAGTTTTCCAAATCCTCAGAAATCTCCATAAGTCTAAATTTTTAGATTCCTCAAGTTTTCAAATTCCTAAATCTCAAGCTTTCGAATCTCAAATCTAACCGTCCGAATTTCTAAATGCTTTTTTAATCACCAACGTAATTTTCATATCGCGATGAATAAAACATCCATTATTATCATGCAAAATTGTAAGAAAATTGGCGATTACATAAAAGCCCGCAAATTTGAATACATTCCCCTGCTGCAAAAGAGAAACCGGGGCTCGTGGCGATCTCCTCGACAACAGAATTCAATAAATCTAGCAACGGCCACCAGAGGCAACATCGTCGTCGCACAACCAAACGTTCCGACCAATCGGATCGTTTGGTACCGATGGCGGGATAAAACGCGCGCTCTGATTGGCCAGGCAATCGCCAAGGGAACCGTGGTGGGACAACGAATAAACAGATTTCAAAGTTTCGAAGTGGTCGGCATCGCAGAGGGAGATTTGATGTCCGCGTGCGTATGTTTCCCGCGAATGTTGTTTCGGATGCTTGCGTCGCGGCGCTTAATGTTTTCGCTCCGTACGTTTCCGTTTGTCGCGTAGTTTTCAACGTTTGACACGCAATGTCACTTCGAAATAGCAAGCACAGTTCCCATGACAGTGTCGATAGTGGTTACCTGACTCTGACTCCGCACTCCGGTGCGCACACACCAGTACTTTCAGGATACCGATCCAGAGTATCATGCATCTCGTCGAAGAGGCATCCCAGGGCCCGAGTGGACCCGCTTCAATCGGAACGGGCCCAAAGGCATCGTTCCAAATTGAATTACCTATTGAACACGTCGGAGTTCGATTACATCTCTTCCGAGAACTCCGAGAGGGAAAGTTTGAGTCAGGACACATCCAGTTTCAGCGATGATCGGCCGAGTTTAAGCATCGAACACTCGAGTGCGGAATTGACGGATGTCGATGATGGGTTTCGGCGTAGGACACGGCGAAATTACAAGACGACAGTCCCGATTACACCAGCTTCGACGAGATTACAACTTCTCTCGCCACCCCCGTCGCCGGCGGTGCCCTCCCCGTTCATAGCCTCCGAGCCCATTGAGGAAGATGTGGAAATGAAGCTAGTCAACGTGCCCCAGAGCACACCCCAGGTAACCACCTCGCCTAGACGGAAAACACCACCGCCAGCACCTCGTATTCTTATCTCGCCAACGTGTCGGAAAACTAGTCCCACAATTAGTTCGGCGGATAATCAAAAATTAAGCAAGCTCTCTATTAAGGACCTCTCAGCCATAGCCGATATTAAGCCAAAGAGGCTGGACTTCAGTCACCGTGCCATATCTGTCGCGTTGTACCGTACCAGGGCTACACCGGACTACACCGGTAGAGAGACAGTTGATATATTGGCACTTCTCGGAGAGAAAAGCAATCACTGGAGGATAGTCTCGAAGATATTGTCATTCCTAGGACCACAGGATCTTTGCTCAATCAGTATGGTGTCCAAAACGTGGAGGAGGATCTGTATTAGTGACTCTAGGGCTAATACGAAAAGACTGACCCATATAATACTCAGACAGAATGTTAAGGAGAATTTGAAGTTAATTAAGAAGTCTAAGATGGAAGGGAATATACAGACAAGCCCTAAGAGCAGATATGCAAGGAAAGGATATTTGTTGGAGGTACAGAATCTTCTTCAAGTACCAGGAAACCAACGACCACCCAGCAGTCCACCGGTTTCTCCCAGTAAAGTCAAATTCCATTCCTTCGTCAAGGTAAGACCCTACAATTTGCATGAATTTGGTGGTGATGGATTTGATATTTATGATATGGAAATGGTACATAAGTATTAATAAGATTATAAGTATTACAAGATTCTGTTTTATTTATAATATTTTTGCAGTATCTCATTTTCACAATTAAACTATGACAATAAATAATTGCGCTACAATAGTAATTACAAAAATACCATATGGAGCATTAAACTTGCTACATAAATATTTATGTAGATATATAATAAATTTATCTATTGCTTAATATATTGATATAGGCACAATTATAATGCAGTTAGGTATTGTTTCATTGACTTTCTTATCGCTTAAAAAACGTGAGAAACAACGTGATACAACTATGAATAAGTTTCACATTTAAACGGTACACAGTTTCTCTCAGGGGATTGTATTCAGTCTCAGTAAAGAGAGGAATGTATGTTGTACACCTCGGGAGTCGTGTTCTGCGGTTATCGTACCGCTGGGTACTCAAGTTTACAGCCAAATTTTCAAATTCAACGCTGGGCGGTAATTATCGAATACACGTTTTGTAATACTGCGAAATAACGGGGTAGACAACGTGACTTATTTAAACTTTTTAGCACCGTCAAATTAAGTAGTTAAATATGTGTTTTCAATTTCTTTTTCGACGCCTATTGTGGGAGGCGTGGGACAAACGTATATGCAATATCAATAAAATTTCAAGTTCTCAATTAAGTTATTTAGAAATATAGAAATTTCGTCATGTGTTATATTGCCACGCGTTATATCGCCACACGTATTTACTATACGTTATATCGCCACATGTTGTATTCACTGTATGTTATATCGCCATATGTTGTATTCACTATGTGTTATATCACGACACATCATATGACCTCGCGTTATATCGCCTCGCATTATATCGCCAGCAACTGTATAGTCTTGTGTTATATCGCCACATTTTGCATTGTTACAAAAATTTGATCGCTACACGTTGTGTAACTCAGCGTTCTATTGCCTCGCGTTATATAGCCGAAAATTAGATCGCAGTGTCTTATACCGCATACCTGCCTATTTGAGATATTGAATCATTCACACATTTTTAATTTGAATAATTCTGCTACACGATTTCGTCGATGGCGATATAACGAGAGTCTCGTGTATTAACCTTCATTGTTCTCGAATGTTACGTAACATGCACTAAATTTGCGTAAAATCGAACGTAGAACGTAAAGGACCAAATTGCGTTGTACTTTGTAGTCCGTGACGCACGCAGTCGCGAATTGTAAGCGGCACTTTATGTTTCGTGAGATACATATTAACGAAACGTAAGAAAAAACTATTCGAATACTATTCTAAATGTTGTTTTGCCTTGATTGAATAATAATGATGCGCGGTACGCTATACGTTCGATTAACGGGACGACTGTAACATAGAAATATCGCGAGCCGTATCGAAACCTATAATTAGGATAGTTATTTATTTTGATTTAGTCTTGCGGTTGGTACTCAGTTTTTACGAGCTGAAATTCGAAGAATAATTACGCGGTAGTAATCGCCTATGACCTGGTGGCCTACGATTTCTTTCGACAACCTGCTGCTGCCTGTGTATGTCCCATTGGCATTGGTAATTTGCACACAAACGAACGAGCGAACTCGAATTAAGAAACATAATTGTTTCGTTCGCGAAATCGCCTGTTTGACGTTGATTTATCGTGATTTCTTCTTTGAAACGCCGCTGCTGACCAACGGCGGATATTAGCGGTGAAAAATCGCCTTAGCGACATCTAATGAACTTTCGTTGGAAGGAATTCTACTGATAATTGAAGTATATATCAATTTGACTGATCTAGTTCAATCGTATCTGTTATCCTAATTATAACGTAATTGAAGAAATCTCCATTAAATTGGAACAATGTCCTTGTAAATAATCAGAACAAAATTCAACGATTTTAATATCAATGAAATTGTGTAAGTGGATTAAACTAACCGTTCGTAATTCAAGTAATACCAGGTACCTGCTATTTGCACCTTGAGCCGTCTTTGGTGTAAATTTCTTCTCGTATTAAGTTGCGATAGCGGTAGATTAGAGAGAGAATGTAACGAGTTGGTTATCGTGGGCCGCGTAACAAAAGCTCTCTTCAAGGCTTGCAACGCGGTCCGTTAATTCCTTTGTTGCGTGCATCGTGATAACGAAGTACCTTTATCAAAGGAATTAGCGTTGCATTTAATCTGCCTGCAACTCTACGCAAATTAATTTGTTGCAATCCTATCAAATGCATTGAGCCTGCAATTCGTACCTTTGCATCAATCACGCGTGCATGCGAAGCGATCTCCAAAGCAATTTTTGCGTGCTGCTCAACGATTGCATTTGCACTTGCAATCATTTAATTGCTAGACTTCAACTGGTAGTTTTGAATGTTACGAATTTTCATATATGAAAGTGGCGATATATCAAGGGGCTATGAAGTTGCAACATAACGCGAGTCTACAACTTGATAGTAGCAATATAATGTACTCTCGTTAGTTGGCTTGTAGAGTTTACATTGATGATACAATAAGAGCCTGTACATGAAAGTGGCGATATATCAAGGGGCTATGAAGTTGCAATATAACGCGAGTCTGCAACTTGATAGTAGCAATATAATGTACTCTTGTTAGTTGGGTTGTAGAGTTTACATTGATGATACAATAAGAGCCTGTACATGGAAGTGGCGATATAATGAGAGACTACAAAGTTGCAATATAACGCGAGTCTGCAACTTGATAGTAGCAATATAATGCACTCTTGTTAGCTGGGTTTTAGAGTTTACATTAATGATGCAATAACAGTCTGTACATGGAAGTGGCGATATAATGAGAGACTACAAAGTTGCAATATAACGCGAGTCTGCAACTTGATAGTAGCAATATAATGTACTCTCGTTAGTTGGCTTGTAGAGTTTACATTGATGATACAATAAGAGCCTGTACACGGAAGTGGCAATATAACGAGAGACTGATCTGATACTTTTTTAACGACAACCTTATGTAATAAAACGAAATGACCTATATATTCCCACTCGAATGAAGAGTAAGAAATGCTCATGGGAATTCTATCGGTAAATAGGCAATAAAATGCAAATGAAACGTAGGATGAGCGTAAGAAAAGGAAAGTTACGAAAATGAGCGCGAGACGTTACCACTGTTACGATGCAATAAGAAATTTTTCTCCGAGCGAAGTAAATGTACTTTTTTATGGAATTATTTTCGTGGAACAATGTCGGTTAACCACGGGTGGTTCGGCGTGTCGCGTCCCGCTGTAACCATCGTAAAAGATAAAAGAAAAGGGTCGCGTTCGGTCTTTGTTTTAGCATCGAATACTGTAATATATTCGCATTGTTCTCTGCAGCCGGTTTTTGCCCGAAGGCTAGCGGCGGCTTGCCCTCCAAAGGGAAAGATTCGTTGCGTCTCTGATGCAAAAGGAAAAGAGTTCCTTTTCTTTCTCTCCCCTCTGTGATGCATCGACCATTTGATTCACTTTATTAGGGGAATGTTAAACGACCGCCCCGCGTGTATTCTCATGAAAATGTTAACACGAGCTACCCCGGTGACGGGGGCGTGAATTATATTTATGTGTACGCCGAATTCGCGGCAGGATCGAGATCAAAATCGCTTAGGAAAGCCGCGGTAGCGAGAATTTCTTGTCAATTATGTATGCAAAACGTGGCTACCATGGATCAGCGCGAAACGTCATAATCGTTTTGGGGATCGATGGGGTGCGGAGAAAGCGCGCCAATTTCAAATCTACCGTTAGTCCCAGCACGCGCGCTACGATACTCGACTTTTAGTTTATTTCTCGGGGTTTCAATTTTTTCATTTGAGAATTATTCTTCAAATTTATTAATTTTCTCAGCAAATCTATATAACAATTTAGAAGTTTAAATTTAAGATTTAGAAGTTTTCAAATTTAAAAACTGAAAGATCAAATTTAGAGATTTAAATAATTTTCTAAGTCTTATTTGCAATTTTAGTTATTGTAATATTGTAGAAGTTGGGAATTTAGACATGGGGATCTTTTGGGATTACCTTCTTTTCCAATCTCTGACAATCTTGCAGGATACCATAGAAATTTCGCGGTGAACAATCAAGACATCAGTCCCCCTATAAAAGTGAAGGGTCCAACTTTTTTCTCTTTTTTTCATAAGGATTCGATACCTCGTGGTTGGTACATCATGAGAATTTTGCTCGACGTAAACTTATCTTGGTGTGAAACCACCCTCTCTTTCTTCACAGAGTTTTAATTCCCTAAATTATAGGAAATGTGCTATCAAACAATCAATCAATAATTTAAATAAAGAGAAGACATTTTTACAATCTTTATTTAAAATATAAGTATGAAATATAGTACAATAAATACAATTAGTAACAAATAAAAAAATGAGGTTGTATTACTTTTATAAATAAACGAACTTGAAAGGAAAGAACAGTCGAGGGTTAAAATCGTTCGACGATTAAAGAAAGGAAAGGAAGGAAGAAAGGAAATAAAGTGTCCTGCAATTAGTAACGGCCTGCGAGGACCGTTGAGTGGCCATATAACCCAACAGTTGGTGCGGGTAATTTCCTGTCGTAAGGAAACTTCCTTTTCCTTCCTTTCTTTTTAACTGGTGACAGGGCTTAACCCTCCGGATTTCACCTTTTCTTTTGATCGACATAGATAGCCCTAGCAAAAATTACAACTTCCTATCTATTATAACTGCCATACAAGTTTTATTTCCACTTACATTTTTGAAAGAAATATTCATCTAAAAAATTTCACTTTGAAATTTCATTTTGAATCTAGACAATTTTTTATGATTATACGGATATTTTTATTGGGTTCATTCTTGCTGAAAATTTAAGAATCTACAAAATTTGAAGGGGTAGAAATATTCAGGCTTTTCTAATTGCAAACTTTTTAATGTAAAATTGTACAAATGTATAATTTGTAAAATTTAGAATATGTGGATGGATTGAGAAGGAGGTAAATAGAGTAGGGAAATATCC